ATTTGTATCATTCATTCATTCGTATACACTAAATCATTTGTATACTAGTACATATATACTTCAATATCAATATATTATTGATGAAAAACACATAGAATCAAACACATAAATTTAACTATTTACCCAACATTAACAACATATGAGAAGAAAAGGGGGGAAAATCAATAATACCAATTCCACACAACACTTCCAATTGGGCCAAAATCAAAATCCTAACCCTCCTTGTATGTTGTGAGAAGATTGATTAGTATTGAGCATACTTTGAAGATCATACAACAAGATTTTTGAGTATTCTTGTTAAGTACATCAAATGTTACTAAACATATTTTTAGAAAAAAATAATTTCTATTAAAAAATATTATTAAATGGTACTTTCAACGGCCCTTTTTTATCGATTTGTGCATCTGATAAACAAACTCAAAATAACAAACGAAACTATATCCTATGTCAATTTCAATGAATCTTTTACGAACTTGTCTAGTTTATGTGTATTATTATTTGTTATTCAAGTACATGTTAATTCGTCATAAGACGATGGCGGGCGTGATATATTTTATGTACGTCAATATAAATCTATCATTGAATATACTAATCAAAAATTATAAATAAACCGTCCAAGAAAAACTTAACTTCCGGTTATGTCTTTGCCCACCGATCTAATAATCTACACTAAATTTAATAAAAAAAAATTGAATATATATTTGGGAAAAATAGGTCTATCCCTTTTTAACAAAATCCCAACAAAGGAATTTCCACCCTAGGCAGTGCAATTGGTTGTGTGTCGGCACAACCTTCAGGATTCAGGTTGGTAATGATATTTTTGAGAAAGTGAAACAGGTCTGACTATATGTTGCTGCATCAGGGGACACTGTTGAGTTGTCATAGGCCCCCATCAACTTTGCCCTTTTTTCATGTACCACCAAACATATCATGGCATCACAAGATTTTCTCTGACTCTTATTCTGGCTCTGTGCACTCTGTTTTAATCAGACTCCTCGACACGGATAAGATACGATACGATACGAATTTGATAAGATACGATACGATACGATACGAATTTATTACAATTATGGCATTCACACAACAATACTCTTTTGTAGTTGGTTCAATTCAGCCATAAAATTGNTATTATAATCATGGCATTCACACAACAATACTCTTTTGTAGTTGGTTCAATTCAGCCATAAAATTGTTCGATTATAGTTTAAGAGTAAATTACCAAAATAATATTTTTTGATATCTTATTTTTCTCGAACCCAGAATCATAATTGGTTATAAAGAATTAGATTTTATAGGATTGATACTAAGTTTTTAACAATCGATTTGAAAACTTTTTGCAAGGACTTTTTAACTAATTTTTGTAACTCGAATCCGCGTACATAATATAACATCAGGAGAGGATAGGTCTCTCATACTGGATGGTCATGAGGATTGAGGAGCTGCCTTCAACTTTTTCCCTTTTTGTCAAAATTTTCTCCAAAACTTATCACTTTCAAGGTTTATTGAACTGAATTGTGAAGTAATATGACCCTCCACCATTGAGATGAAATTTTTGCAGTATCTGCCTTTTTTCTTCCCCTCTTAACCTCTGTAGAGAGAGAGAGAGAGAGAGAGGTAAACCCACAGCCACACCCACCCCAAATGATACTTTCATAGCACATTCCTTTGTGCATATGTACATTCATCTATGAGGATGACACTCATGATTCAACTCTTTTGGAGCAATACTATGAACATTGTTACTCTATATACATCATTATAAAAAGTCAGACTTTAACTGGTATAATAAATAGTCCCTAAAATTCATTCTTCAGGCACTGATAATAGTGTTCCATCATCTAAAATACTATAATTCTTAGTGTTAATCACCTCTTTTTTCAAAGTTGTCACTAAATGTTTCGTATTGAGAAAAAAAATGCCACTAGATTGCTCCTATAGATGTAATTTTAATGGTGGGATTAAAATTTCGAATTGTGGACAATATTAAGAACGAATAATGTTACATAGATTTAAAATATCGACTTGATCAATCACTGTCATTAATTTAGCTATGAGTCTCAGTATTTATTGAGATCCTTTTTTTTTTTTGGTTCAACGATCAAGGGTGTTCGAACTAATTTACACATACTTCGAATAATTTCCTCCCTAGTCCGGTCAAAAACAGGTCATCCGTGTCGGGACTAAGAAATTTATAAGAGATAAATCTCTCATGGTTTGATTTCAATGAATTGTCAAAATTTCAACTCATGACATCTGAGTATATAGCTCGTTCTTGTTAATATTTAAACTACACTTTAAAATTTTGAAATCTATTACTTATTCAACAGTTATGATTGATCAAATTAATATTTTAAATTCAAATAATATTTTCCATTACGAATGTAAGATATGTATTGGATTGACCTCTCAAGTACCCAATGCTAATGTTTCCTTTGCTTGCACCGTTGACAGTGTTTGTGCCTGTGTCCGTCACCACCTTCCATGCAATTCTTGGTCTTGGTTTGCCATTACAAATAATTTGAAAGAATCAACCTCTGCAAATCGTGAACAGAGTCATGGGGGGTTATCATGTTCTGGACACTCAATGTTGTTGCAGATAGTAAACAAAAATATTATTACATCAAAGTCAAATGGCACCAGAGCTTGTGAAATTGGACTGCCCAAAAGTCAGCTGCACACTAGAGTTGGTATTTGAAGATTGAAAATTTATACCACCTACTTGTCGGTCTAATCAATAAATATTTAATTTTTTTTGCTCAATATTTAAATTCGAATTTTATTATTGTGTCAGCTTGACGATATTAAACTTACTTGTTTGTGCTTGAAGTAGAAGGTGAAACCTTAACTTTGACTTCAATGTAAATGCGATCAAATCTCTCATATATAATTTTTTTTTATTCAAGAGTCAAGAGTGTCCGAGTTAGAGCTTACACATTTCGACTAATCATCTTCCTAATCCGATCAAAAGTAGACAATCCATACTAAGATTAGGGTATACATGAGGGATTTATCCCTCATGACTTGTCTCCAAAGAATTGTCAAGATTTGGAACTCAAAACGTCTGACATTTCAGTTCATCCTTGTTATCACTTAAGCTACGTCTTGAAGTTTCTCCCGTAGATAAATGTATAGTGCTGAGGAGCAATTTTTCCTGACGGATATTTAAAATAATTTATTAGCATATTCATTTTTTATACCCGAAGAACAAGTAAAATTAAAAATCTAGCCTCAAATCATGTCTATTCTAGACTTTCAGTATAGCTGTCTTAATTTTTCTCAATATTAGATCATTAAACGTAAATTTGCAGAACTAATTATATATGAATACATCTCTCACCAATAAATTGTCATTAATTTATAAATAAAAAATTGAAAAGAAATGTAGTGAAATGGATCTTCCTCAGGCAAACAAACATGTTGTTGGTAAGACCATTTGGCACATAAGACATTAAAATACATCATCCGAATCTTTTATGATCTTACAATATATCTTTCATAAGTTGACATTGTCTTCTTAAGAACTTTTCTCCTTTGTTATCTTCTTTTGTCTTACTTGGCTATTCTAAATATGTCGGCCAAGCAACGAATGAGTCGGTTGATGTTTTCCTACAATTTTCCCCTCTCTATATATGAATCCCTATTTTTATATGTACGAGTCGGTATGACTGAAGTTAACGGTTGATCTAATGATCATTTTTAAACTCATCAATTATGTTGGGTTTTATCGGATGTGTGTTCTCTATATATAACTGATATATTATTAGTCGTATCATATTGAATTTATGTTGACTTGACTCATATCCGATTTATTTATTAATATTATCGTATCGGATTGAGTCTACTCAAAATGAATAACTTAAAAAAAATCTAAACTCTTTAATTTTGTATTGTGTTTGTGTTTGTGTTGTGTTAATAGATCGTGTCATATTTTGATACCCTTAACTACTTTCCTCGTTGTTAAACTTTAAGATAGTATGTTTAAACCTTGTAATCGCCTCCCTGTAATAATGTCTGACTAAAAAAAAAAAGTGGGTGACCTACTATCGAAAAAAAAAGTGAATCTAAATATTAAAAGTGGATCTTCCACCGAGGGTGTTTTGGATATTAAAATCTGTACGCCCCATCAAATTTAGTTGATTTAAATATTAAAAATTCAAGATACTTTTAAATCATTGGAATGTGTATAAATTTTTACTATTCAAAGAAAATTGAATGATCCTCCGATTCATGTGAAATTAGAGCGAAATTAGAGCGGAATTGAACCCCCCCCCCACCCCCCTTTTCTAGGGTTAAGCATCGCGATAAATCCTCTGTCCTATTACATATGCTACAACCACCTTTTATCAAGTCCAATCGATTGTCGTCGACCACTAGATCCGCTGATCTGCAACGTTCACCCCGACTGACAAGCACAAATCCTCATCCTCCGTGCGGAATATAATCCCAAAATGTCATATAACCCAAAAGGGAAGGATAGTCTCTGTAAAATTCATATCTGGTAAAAAAAAATAAAAAAATCTACCCTCACATCTAGCTATTTTCAAGCTAGATTTTCCAAAGAGCAGCAATAACATAGAAGTAATTGTGAACTATGCTATTCCAATTCCGGGGAGAATTCACAAAACTCTATTTCTATCGCGAATTGACTGAAATTTTCCAGCCTTTTGACTGGAGAATCCAACAGAGACATTCTGACCACAAATGAGACATTCCATGTAATTGACTCCAGAGAATCNGAGAATTGAATGAAATTTTCCAGCCTTTTGACCGGAGAATCTAACAGAGACATTCTGACCACAAATGAGACATTCCATGTAATTGACTCCAGAGAATCAAAAAATTTTACGCCATTTGGATAGGAGAGCTACCACCACAACTATCAATTTCCCATCCAAAGTCACTTAATTCGTTATCATATACAGTATCCAGCAAAAGGCCTTAGTGATTTTTGGAACAAAATTCCTCAGGCAAACGGATACAAGAAAGGACAATTTTTCNCAAAAGTCACTTAATTCGTTATCATATACAGTATTCAGCAAAAGGCCTTGTGATTTTTGGAACAAAATTCCTCAGGCAAACGGATACAAGAAAGGACAATTTTTCATTCATCAAGTAATCAACATATGTACGGAGATACGATAAAAGGATCCTCTCATCTGTCTCTATATGAGTGTATATCTCAGCTCGTAGGACCAAGGGTACATTAAATCTCATCATTAATACCAAAAAACAAGCATAGTTACAATTTTTCACCCTTTCTGGTGGTAACATTCTTCCAGGAAACTTTCCAAGGCAACCAAGAACGAGGCAGCGTTGGAACTTGCCACAGGAAAAGAAAAATGAGAACTTGGAAAAAGCACTAGTATGAGGGAGAGATATAGGCTTCGAAACAGAGAAATGTTAGACTTGGAATTAGAACACCTGGAAGAAGAGACTTGTCGATCCATCTCCAAATGATCGTAAATCAGCAGGTCTAACCAAGGCCCTGCACAGAGGGCAAGTTCTTTCTCTCTCAAACCTGAAAACAGTGCAGTGCTAATTGGTCAGAAGAGGTTGATAGAAGGAACAAGCACATAAAGCTTAAGATAAGCCAAAACCAGAAATAACTCGTTCAATGACCAGACATTGATACACAAAGGATTTTCCTAATATCGGATGGCTCCCAATAGAGCAAGTTTTTTCTTCTTCACGAATGTTTTTAAAGACTTACCATAGGCAAAATTTAAAATTTAACTAAATTTCCATTTTGATAATGCAGAAAACCTCTCATCTTCCTTTACAAATACTACTTGTATTGTCGAGTAACCTGGGCTCACTCGTTTTGGTGGATAAAAAACTCTATCCTTTGGTCAAAGGGCCGAACCTCAAGTCATAAGCACTTATCTTTTTTCTAAAATCTGTCACCTTCAACTTGGAAGCAAAAGAGAGAATGTAATCCTAATAAATTGGATTTGGGGTTGGGAGGAAACACCGTGTGTAGGAGTTGCTATGGACTAAGTTGATGAAAATGGAGTTGGATGAAAATCACAAGAAAACAATACCCTTTTTTTGAGCGTTCCCATACTCACTAAAATACATGAGCTATTTTTTCCAACATAATAAAAAATTACGTGTTTTCCACTATTCACTCAGCACTACACCATTGAATCCTTCCACTACTGACAAAATGCTCTCTTAAGAGAGAAAAGGTGGTTGACGGTGGCCAAAATAAGAGAAAGATCACGTAAAACAAGACACATAATGAAAATCAAATCGGAACCTAGTCATATCATATTGAACAACACTTTTATGCAGTTGCCAAGAAACTATGAATATCTAGTACTTCACATTTTTCCTGGCTATCCAAACAAGTTAATGCCCATGCAAAGGGAAATTAAAAAAAAAAAAAAGTGAGTGTTAGTGTGTGCGCGCACGCGCAAGAGAGAGAGTGCCACAAACGTATGGTCAAAAAATGAAATTGTAGACTAACCATTCTGAAACACAGTCTTCGCAGAAGATGTGTTTACAACGCAATAGAATTGGGGCATGCATCTTCTCTTGGCAAATAGCACACAGGTCCCCTGCTGCATTCACCTGTGTCAAAATGACCAACAGTTTAGGTTCAGGAAAAGAGTCCACTTATGTAGAAATTGCGAGTTCTACAAGTATATGTCAGATGGTAATAAGACTATAATTATAAAGCAAAACAAAAAACTGGTAAAACATCCACATTCTCTCTTGCCAAAAGGGAATGAAATTTTATGCCGCAAAGTGGAATTTTAACCGAAAGGAGAAAGAAAAAGAAAACAGTTGCCATACGTAGCCATGTGTTCCCATTGACTACAAAAAATCAAAAGTAAGATATTTTACGGTTAATGGAGCAAAAGAAATAGGCTGCAATAAGGATTCGAACTAAGTTTCATATTTATTGCCACAGTATAGGAGTCAATGTTTGGGTTTCACTGCAGTAAGTATGTACCAGCTAGCTCCCAAATTGAGCTTAAAGAATTTCCGGATGTTTGAAAGTCAATGAGCAACCCATTACCTGTTCTGCTGTGGCATGAGACCCATAATGGATTTCCTTCCGTGATAATGCCTTCACGGCAGCAAAGAAAGATCGGACCTGAATAGCACAGAGATTTAACACCCACGCATCAAATAACGTGAATTATGAAGTTAGGACGTTTCATATTCAAGTCACAGAATAAGGTAAGTGGTTGGGATACCATACCTTTTCAACAACTGATGTAAGCTTGAAAGTTAAGTACAACCCCGTAGTCAGTGACGAAAAAAGGCTTCCATAATCTTTGTTCAAGAAGAAACGGTACCACACAGGTGTAGGTAACAATGCTCGGTATAAAAGCAGTGAGTACTCAACCAGAGTCAGCATTTGACCCTGAAGATCAAATTTTCTACTGTCAGAGAGTTTGGACTATTTAAAATATGGGTATTATGACATAACTCCTTGTATATTGTGTAAACGCCTTCACATTACCTGCCTGCGGAAATTATGGCCTCTGCCATTCTTATAATACATTAGCAGCGCCAATTTAAAAGCCATTGCCACCTGTCGCACCAATATATCTGGAAGACATAGTATTCAGGTCAATATTCCCAAAAGAGAGACGATATCAAATTATAGGATATCCTCAAAATGAAACACAATAGGAACTAAAATAAAAGAAACAAGAATCAAAACCTGAAGTTTTAGATAAAACAATGTACATAAATCACCCCATATTAAGATAGGAGAAATGAGTAACTAATGTGAGACAGAAACATAATATTTGCCTTGTGAATTACATTTTCCAACAAAAATGAGAGAAAGAATGATAAATTATATTGACTAAAGCAGCATAACAGCACAACGAGGGAACAGTATCGGCCACATAATAAAANTATGCACGCACGCGCAAGAGAGAGAGTGCCACAAACGTATGTGGTCAAAAAATGAAATTGTAGACTAACCATTCTGAAACACAGTCTTCGCAGAAGATGTGTTTACAACGCAATAGAATTGGGGCATGCATCTTCTCTTGGCAAATAGCACACAGGTCCCCTGCTGCATTCACCTGTGTCAAAATGACCAACAGTTTAGGTTCAGGAAAAGAGTCCACTTATGTAGAAATTGCGAGTTCTACAAGTATATGTCAGATGGTAATAAGACTATAATTATAAAGCAAAACAAAAAACTGGTAAAACATCCACATTCTCTCTTGCCAAAAGGGAATGAAATTTTATGCCGCAAAGTGGAATTTTAACCGAAAGGAGAAAGAAAAAGAAAACAGTTGCCATACGTAGCCATGTGTTCCCATTGACTACAAAATATCAAAAGTAAGATATTTTACGGTTAATGGAGCAAAAGAAATAGGCTGCAATAAGGATTCGAACTAAGTTTCATATTTATTGCCACAGTATAGGAGTCAATGTTTGGGTTTCACTGCAGTAAGTATGTACCAGCTAGCTCCCAAATTGAGCTTAAAGAATTTCCGGATGTTTGAAAGTCAATGAGCAACCCATTACCTGTTCTGCTGTGGCATGAGACCCATAATGGATTTCCTTCCGTGATAATGCCTTCACGGCAGCAAAGAAAGATCGGACCTGAATAGCACAGAGATTTAACACCCACGCATCAAATAACGTGAATTATGAAGTTAGGACGTTTCATATTCAAGTCACAGAATAAGGTAAGTGGTTGGGATACCATACCTTTTCAACAACTGATGTAAGCTTGAAAGTTAAGTACAACCCCGTAGTCAGTGACGAAAAAAGGCTTCCATAATCTTTGTTCAAGAAGAAACGGTACCACACAGGTGTAGGTAACAATGCTCGGTATAAAAGCAGTGAGTACTCAACCAGAGTCAGCATTTGACCCTGAAGATCAAATTTTCTACTGTCAGAGAGTTTGGACTATTTAAAATATGGGTATTATGACATAACTCCTTGTATATTGTGTAAACGCCTTCACATTACCTGCCTGCGGAAATTATGGCCTCTGCCATTCTTATAATACATTAGCAGCGCCAATTTAAAAGCCATTGCCACCTGTCGCACCAATATATCTGGAAGACATAGTATTCAGGTCAATATTCCCAAAAGAGAGACGATATCAAATTATAGGATATCCTCAAAATGAAACACAATAGGAACTAAAATAAAAGAAACAAGAATCAAAACCTGAAGTTTTAGATAAAACAATGTACATAAATTGTTCCACCCCATATTAAGATAGGAAAAATGAGTAACTAATGTGAGACAGAAACATAATATTTGCCTTGTGAATTACATTTTCCAACAAAAATGAGAGAAAGAATGATAAATTATATTGACTAAAGCAGCATAACAGCACAACGAGGGAACAGTATCGGCCACATAATAAAATGGGGGCACGGCTAGCCACACTAAAGGAATTTGTAAATTTTCTAGTAGGGTCTTCACTAAGCACATAATTCCTTGCAAGGTTTCATGACAACATATGTGTGCAACGCGCATATGAAGCTTGCAAAAGATCAAAGGACGCTCATCACACCAATAAATGTATACATTGGAAATATAGCCACAAAGAAGCAAAATACATAGTTACATACCGTTTACCAAAATGAAGAACATTGCATGCCAGAACGGCGGTATTGCTTTGGGTGGAATCATAACTAATGGATACAAAAGATCATCATTCCGAAACCACCAGTAGACTCCAATCACATGAAGCATGAAGACTGCAGAATAGAAAACAAGAACAGATATTCTTCTCTCCCCCTGCAAAAACCAGCAATTGTCAAGTGTTGGAGTTTTCCTTTGTTTTCTGTAATATCTTTTCATGACTTGTACATTTTTTATGAGGAGGGGAGGAGGGATTTCTTGCAACATTACTACAAAAGTTACTCCAGGAAATCAAAGATATATCCCACCTTTAGAGCTGTCTGTTTTCGAAGAATATCATTTGACTTGAACATGAAAGCGGTGATCCAAATTGTAACAAAGAAACCTGCGAGTCCTCACGGAAAAGTTGTTAAAAATAGTTTTAACACAATATTCCAACAATCAAAAAAGCCATCCAGATAGTCAATTAAAACCATGTGTGCAAAAAAAAAATTATCACAATGTTATCCATTAAAGGAGAAGACAGATTTTCACATCCAAATAGTAAAGATACTAAGCCACCTCTTAATATTAGTTCTCATAGTTTCTATTTAAATGTTAAGAGATCCAAGCATGGGGGACAGAAAACATAATTAATGATATCTCGCCAAAGAAATCCATGACATAATTTGGTCCACCAATATAATCATTTGAAAGCTCTTCATTGGCACTACAAATGATCTGCAATAAATGTGTTTAAACAAATCCATACTACTATGTTAGGTGGACTCTTCTAACATGCTAGAAACCTGTGTCAAACACTTGGACACTTGAGTAAAGGCATCGGAAATGTGCCCAACACTTCTCACAAACTATGCACTGTGCAAGCAGTGCTCGACACTAAGTAGGGGTTGCAAACCAGACGGTACACAACTTGATTTTGGAAGATATGGCACTCAAAGTTGTAGAGCTGGTCGTCTTTCATATTAAGCCACTCATAAAATATGCACTTTGCAAGCATATCAAGTAATTTAAGTTTACCATATAATTGTACACAAACGAGGTTGAGTCTAGGCGCATCGGTAAGATTGTCCCATTACGAACTATGCGTCATATGTTCAAGTCACAGAAATAGCCTCCCTGCATGCAAAAGTAAAGTTGACCTACAAGCGGGAGTTGGGAAACCCTTTTCCTTAGAGTTGTACATAGAAGGATACATGGCGTAAGTCTCTCCAAAAATTAAGGTAAAAGTAGCTACCACTTACTTCTCTCCCAATCCCCAATGGAGCCTCATGCACTACCTACAATCTTTTTATATACTTCAACATAAACTTATCTTGATATGCTACTTTTGATGCATAACTGCTTTAAAATGAGTCGAGTAACCATTTCGATCTCTTTATGAATAAAGAGAAAAATGAAAGCACATAATTATCAGGATGTGTCCCCGTGATCTTGAATTTGAAGATGACATAAACCAGAACCAGACACTTGTGCCTAAGTCCATGTAAGTTGTTCTACGGCATTATCTCTGTTGCCCTGAGTTATACTTCTTAACAATCTATCAGCAATGGTGTTGCTTTATGTTGTTCAACACTCTGCTCCATGCTGCCATCATGGAACTGTCCAATATTTTGCAAGAACACCCATCTTAGTTGAGCATAAAGCTTCAACCATGTAAGGCCTGCTTGGTTCAGCTTTCAAAACGAGCAATCTAAGACATTTCCCTCAGTATCTTGTTGATTAGTTGAGCATAAAGCTTCAACCATGTAAGGCCTGCTTGGTTCAGCATTCGAAACGAGCAATCTAAGACATTTCCCTCAATATCTTGTTGATTTTATCCCATCAAATTTTTTGCCCAAAATAGTACTTCTAACCAGATAGAGTAACACTGAACATAAAACATCATCCAAATAATTCTAGAAAATTGATTTTTTGTAACAGATTTTTTTTAAAAAAAGTGTTAAAAGAGCAACAAGCAAACCGAACTTTCATCATTGTTTTAATAGTTTTCCTTCTTTCTTTTTCACTTTTACATACTGCCCTTGAGAGCCACAACAATCGTCAGACACAACCAAGTTTTAGCCAACCAGCTCTCTCTATCACTCCCTCTTCATCGATAAACAAGGTAGAACATTCAAAAACAACTTCAAAGAATCCAGTACCAGTACCCATTAGTCGGTCTTCACCTTACTATGGTAGTCTAATCTACGTTCTCATTCAAATTTTCAATCTTCGAGCTGAAGTATTTTACATATTTCTATTTCAGAATTTAGCTTTGCCTTTGCCTTTTCCAAGTATTAGCAACTTGCCCCAATCTCTTCTAAGCAAGTGAAATACATAATTTGCCAAATACCAACTGCATCATCAGTACTTATTACATTAACAACTAATATCTCAAATCAAATCCTTGGCAATGATCAACTCAAAATCCTGTTGCATGGGACAACATTAAATCCACTTAGTTGAGAACCATGGTGTGAAAGAGTTAGACAGATCATTCTTAAACAAACCGCCACTTGAACCCACATTCCAGTTCACATATTACAAAACTGAAAGCTATTCATATATGGCACAATATGCATCAAAAAATAGATAGCCATGTTGGCATTCGTTCTTTCACATCTTACATCTTAAATATGAAACAAAATCAATAAATTGCATGAGTTCTTCTAAATCACATTACAAAATTTTCGTTAACAAAATCAACCCAAAAACAACAATGGAATGGGATAAACGTCATCAAATGTTACCTTGCAAGTGCTGACGAATGAATACGACCAACAAAAGCAAAGAAAACGGAAGAATATGCTCAATCCACCTCGCAACCTGCTGTATGTCATACCTCTGCTGCGTCGAATCCCTATTACTCTCACTCCCACCATTCCCATCACCCGAATCAACCGCCCCCCTTGCCTGTACACCAGAATCCCTCTCTCCATCCCCAACCTCATTTCCATTACCACCTTCCACCAACACCGGTCCGACCGCTCCTCCAATCTGCCCTATAGTCCGATCATCATCAGCACCAATTTGGTCTTGGTCTCCAATTATCCGAATCGAAACCTCCCCATTCCCACTACTTCTAGGTGTAACCGAACTAGAATCGTTGAAATCATCAGACACAAGAGCCTCAGTCTCGGAATTGTTCGGTCTTGGCCCAAGAATTCCGGAATACTCCAATAAAGTCGATACTGGTGCTTGAAAGAAACGTAACGGATTGATTTGCAATCCGTACCTTGATGAGTTGTTGTTTCTTGGTGAAGAAGGTGAAGAATTCGTGTATGTATCATTGCCTGTACCACCTGATGTTTCCATTAAAGAAACCCTAAACCCTTGTGCCTTAACGTTCTTGCGATTCTTGGAGACGAAGAAAGATTTTCGATACACAAACAGATTGAAATGATTGTACAAAGAAGAGGAAAACAAAAGTCAAAGGCGTGAGACAGGGTTAGTGGTGGCGTAGCTACTGCGATATATAAATATATATACAGAGAGAGAGAGAGAGCTTCTGTATGCTTGTGTGAAATGGAGATTCAAGAGCTAACAGGTAGGGAGAGAAGAAGTCTAGGGTTTTATCTGAAAATTGAGATGGATTCCATACGTGTAAACGTGTACCTTCTGCGAATTGGACCTTCCGTCTTTTGTGTAAATTACACTTTGACCCCGTAAATTATTAATTTTTTGATATTACTCCTCAATTATTTAATTTATTTCTCATTACCCTAAACACAAGCACCCGCTATCTTTTTAGATGGAACTTATCAATGTGTCTGGACAAAATGAAAAGANCAGTACCAATTAGTCGGTCTTCACCTTACTATGGTAGTCTAATCTACGTTCTCATTCAAATTTTCAATCTTCGACCTGAAGTATTTTACATATTTCTATTTCAGAATTTAGCTTTGCCTTTGCCTTTTCCAAGTATTAGCAACTTGCCCCAATCTCTTCTAAGCAAGTGAAATACATAATTTGCCAAATACCAACTGCATCATCAGTACTTATTACATTAACAACTAATATCTCAAATCAAATCCTTGGCAATGATCAACTCAAAATCCTGTTGCATGGGACAACATTAAATCCACTTAGTTGAGAACCATGGTGTGAAAGAGTTAGACAGATCATTCTTAAACAAACCGCCACTTGAACCCACATTCCAGTTCACTTATTCCAAAACAGAAAGCTATTCATATATGGCACAATATGCATCAAAAAATAGATAGCCATGTTGGCATTCGTTCTTTCACATCTTACATCTTAAATATGAAACAAAATCAATAAATTGCATGAGTTCTTCTAAATCACATTACAAAATTTTCGTTAACAAAATCAACCCAAAAACAACAATGGAATGGGATAAACGTCATCAAATGTTACCTTGCAAGTGCTGACGAATGAATACGACCAACAAAAGCAAAGAAAACGGAAGAATATGCTCAATCCACCTCGCAACCTGCTGTATGTCATACCTCTGCTGCGTCGAATCCCTATTACTCTCACTCCCACCATTCCCATCACCCGAATCAACCGCCCCCCTTGCCTGTACACCAGAATCCCTCTCTCCATCCCCAACCTCATTTCCATTACCACCTTCCACCAACACCGGTCCGACCGCTCCTCCAATCTGCCCTATGGTCCGATCATCATCAGCACCAATTTGGTCTTGGTCTCCAATTATCCGAATCGAAACCTCCCCATTCCCACTACTTCTAGGTGTAACCGAACTAGAATCGTTGAAATCATCAGACACAAGAGCCTCAGTCTCGGAATTGTTCGGTCTTGGCCCAAGAATTCCGGAATACTCCAATAAAGTCGATACTGGTGCTTGAAAGAAACGTAACGGATTGATTTGCAATCCGTACCTTGATGAGTTGTTGTTTCTTGGTGAAGAAGGTGAAGAATTCGTGTATGTATCATTGCCTGTACCACCTGATGTTTCCATTAAAGAAACCCTAAACCCTTGTGCCTTAACGTTCTTGCGATTCTTGGAGACGAAGAAAGATTTTCGATACACAAACAGATTGAAATGATTGTACAAAGAAGAGGAAAACAAAAGTCAAAGGCGTGAGACAGGGTTAGTGGTGGCGTAGCTACTGCGATATATAAATATATATACAGAGAGAGAGAGAGAGCTTCTGTATGCTTGTGTGAAATGGAGATTCAAGAGCTAACAGGTAGGGAGAGAAGAAGTCTAGGGTTTTATCTGAAAATTGAGATGGATTCCATACGTGTAAACGTGTACCTTCTGCGAATTGGACCTTCCGTCTTTTGTGTAAATTACACTTTGACCCCGTAAATTATTAATTTTTTGATATTACTCCTCAATTATTTAATTTATTTCTCATTACCCTAAACACAAGCACCCGCTATCTTTTTAGATGGAACTTATCAATGTGTCTGGACAAAATGAAAAGAAATCACATAATTTTCGAGGAAAAATAAAATCACTCTATCAAATTTGTAAGAGACGTTAACAATTGAAGCGATGTGAAATTAATCATTTAAGGAAGTCAAAATAGTTTAAAAGACAATGTGATAAAAAAATAATAATAATTGAGGGAGTCAAAGTATATAATTTTTCTCCATTTTTTGGTTCCTTTCTTTCTCTTTTGATAAGGTTTGGTGTTCGTTTTATTTTAGTGATGACTAAGTCAGTTTACACTATTTCGGCTAATATTTTCTTTGATTCGCTCAAAAAGCACGTCATCTACGTCGAAATTAGGGTATTCATGGAATAAATAAATTATTAAAATTTAAATTTAAAATATTTGAATTTACAACTATGTCCTTATTACCAATTTGAACTATCCTCAGGTTTGTTCATGTTTAAAATTTCTATAATATCGTTTCTCTTTTTCTCATATTAATTATTCATAATTACATATAATATTTTCATAATTTATATCTTACAACTCTCATNCAAGTATTAGCAACTTGCCCCAATCTCTTCTAAGCAAGTGAAATACATAATTTGCCAAATACCAACTGCATCATCAGTACTTATTACATTAACAACTAATATCTCAAATCAAATCCTTGGCAATGATCAACTCAAAATCCTGTTGCATGGGACAACATTAAATCCACTTAGTTGAGAACCATGGTGTGAAAGAGTTAGACAGATCATTCTTAAACAAACCGCCACTTGAACCCACATTCCAGTTCACTTATTCCAAAACAGAAAGCTATTCATATATGGCACAATATGCATCAAAAAATAGATAGCCATGTTGGCATTCGTTCTTTCACATCTTACATCTTAAATATGAAACAAAATCAATAAATTGCATGAGTTCTTCTAAATCACATTACAAAATTTTCGTTAACAAAATCAACCCAAAAACAACAATGGAATGGGATAAACGTCATCAAATGTTACCTTGCAAGTGCTGACGAATGAATACGACCAACAAAAGCAAAGAAAACGGAAGAATATGCTCAATCCACCTCGCAACCTGCTGTATGTCATACCTCTGCTGCGTCGAATCCCTATTACTCTCACTCCCACCATTCCCATCACCCGAATCAACCGCCCCCCTTGCCTGTACACCAGAATCCCTCTCTCCATCCCCAACCTCATTTCCATTACCACCTTCCACCAACACCGGTCCGACCGCTCCTCCAATCTGCCCTATAGTCCGATCATCATCAGCACCAATTTGGTCTTGGTCTCCAATTATCCGAATCGAAACNGTCACTTGAACCCACATTCCAGTTCACATATTACAAAACTGAAAGCTATTCATATATGGCACAATATGCATCAAAAAATAGATAGCCATGTTGGCATTCGTTCTTTCACATCTTACATCTTAAATATGAAACAAAATCAATAAATTGCATGAGTTCTTCTAAATCACATTACAAAATTTTCGTTAACAAAATCAACCCAAAAACAACAATGGAATGGGATAAACGTCATCAAATGTTACCTTGCAAGTGCTGACGAATGAATACGACCAACAAAAGCAAAGAAAACGGAAGAATATGCTCAATCCACCTCGCAACCTGCTGTATGTCATACCTCTGCTGCGTCGAATCCCTATTACTCTCACTCCCACCATTCCCATCACCCGAATCAACCGCCCCCCTTGCCTGTACACCAGAATCCCTCTCTCCATCCCCAACCTCATTTCCATTACCACCTTCCACCAACACCGGTCCGACCGCTCCTCCAATCTGCCCTATAGTCCGATCATCATCAGCACCAATTTGGTCTTGGTCTCCAATTATCCGAATCGAAACCTCCCCATTCCCACTACTTCTAGGTGTAACCGAACTAGAATCGTTGAAATCATCAGACACAAGAGCCTCAGTCTCGGAATTGTTCGGTCTTGGCCCAAGAATTCCGGAATACTCCAATAAAGTCGATACTGGTGCTTGAAAGAAACGTAACGGATTGATTTGCAATCCGTACCTTGATGAGTTGTTGTTTCTTGGTGAAGAAGGTGAAGAATTCGTGTATGTATCATTGCCTGTACCACCTGATGTTTCCATTAAAGAAACCCTAAACCCTTGTGCCTTAACGTTCTTGCGATTCTTGGAGACGAAGAAAGATTTTCGATACACAAACAGATTGAAATGATTGTACAAAGAAGAGGAAAACAAAAGTCAAAGGCGTGAGACAGGGTTAGTGGTGGCGTAGCTACTGCGATATATAAATATATATACACAGAGAGAGAGAGAGCTTCTGTATGCTTGTGTGAAATGGAGATTCAAGAGCTAACAGGTAGGGAGAGAAGAAGTCTAGGGTTTTATCTGAAAATTGAGATGGATTCCATACGTGTAAACGTGTACCTTCTGCGAATTGGACCTTCCGTCTTTTGTGTAAATTACACTTTGACCCCGTAAATTATTAATTTTTTGATATTACTCCTCAATTATTTAATTTATTTCTCATTACCCTAAACACAAGCACCCGCTATCTTTTTAGATGGAACTTATCAATGTGTCTGGACAAAATGAAAAGAAATCACATAATTTTCGAGGAAAAATAAAATCACTCTATCAAATTTGTAAGAGACGTTAACAATTGAAGCGATGTGAAATTAATCATTTAAGGAAGTCAAAATAGTTTAAAAGACAATGTGATAAAAAAATAATAATAATTGAGGGAGTCAAAGTATATAATTTTTCTCCATTTTTTGGTTCCTTTCTTTCTCTTTTGATAAGGTTTGGTGTTCGTTTTATTTTAGTGATGACTAAGTCAATTTACACTATCTCGGCTAATATTTTCTTTGATTCGCTCAAAAAGTACGTTATCTACGTCGAAATTAGGGTATTCATAGGATAAATAAATTGTCAAAATTTAAATTTAAAATATTTGAATTTACAACTATATCCTTATTACCAATTTGAACTATCCTTAGGTTTGTTCATGTTTAAAATTTCTATAATATCGTTTCTCTTTTTCTCATATTAATTATTCATAATTACATATAATATTTTCATAATTTATATCTTACAACTCTCATATTACTCTCACTCATCTCTAATCTCACTTTAAAATTGAAGACATAGGCAATCGCATGCATAAACACTAATTTATACATGTTTTTTTTTAACAATGGTATTTCCTATAATATTTTTTTCCATTTTTCTTCTCGTCAAATAATCTATGGCGTTTTAATTGTCCAAATACAATGATATTTTATTTTACTATACTATAAAATAATTAAATTAGAGATGAGAGGTATTGAGAAGACTTCCCTCCCTAAATGCTAATTTACTAGAATTTTAAAATATTTAATTAATTCACTCCAATAAAACACTATATGTATCATATTTCTTATATTTAAAATTAAATAAATATCATTTTACTATTAATATAAATTGTCCAAAGATATTAGAATAACGAAAGATTTGATAATACGGTAATCAAAAAAATAATAATAATAAATTCTATTCATGGCATGACGTGTCTATTAGTTGCCTATAATACTTACTCCCTCTAGTACTCATTAAATTTTAATTATCTTTTTTTATTGTCAGGAATTAAATTTTAATTGTTTATGTGTAAAAATTATTATGTTACTTATAGAAAAAGTGTCGGTGAAAAAAATATGTCAGGGATACAACTTAATGCTAGTAACTTGTACCACGGGAATACTAACATTTGCTTCCACCTACTTTACCGATAAATGTGTTGTATTGACTNATACACAGAGAGAGAGAGAGCTTCTGTATGCTTGTGTGAAATGGAGATTCAAGAGCTAACAGGTAGGGAGAGAAGAAGTCTAGGGTTTTATCTGAAAATTGAGATGGATTCCATACGTGTAAACGTGTACCTTCTGCGAATTGGACCTTCCGTCTTTTGTGTAAATTACACTTTGACCCTGTAAATTATTAATATTTTTATATTACTCCTCAATTATTTAATTTATTTCACATTACCCTAAACACAAGCACCCGCTATCTTTTTAGATGGAACTTATCAATGTGTCTGGACAAAATGAAAAGAAATCACATAATTTTCGAGGAAAAATAAAATCACTCTATCAAATTTGTAAGAGACGTTAACAATTGAAGCGATGTGAAATTAATCATTTAAGGAAGTCAAAATAGTTTAAAAGACAATGTGANCATTCGTTCTTTCACATCTTACATCTTAAATATGAAACAAAATCAATAAATTGCATGAGTTCTTCTAAATCACATTACAAAATTTTCGTTAACAAAATCAACCCAAAAACAACAATGGAATGGGATAAACGTCATCAAATGTTACCTTGCAAGTGCTGACGAATGAATACGACCAACAAAAGCAAAGAAAACGGAAGAATATGCTCAATCCACCTCGCAACCTGCTGTATGTCATACCTCTGCTGCGTCGAATCCCTATTACTCTCACTCCCACCATTCCCATCACCCGAATCAACCGCCCCCCTTGCCTGTACACCAGAATCCCTCTCTCCATCCCCAACCTCATTTCCATTACCACCTTCCACCAACACCGGTCCGACCGCTCCTCCAATCTGCCCTATAGTCCGATCATCATCAGCACCAATTTGGTCTTGGTCTCCAATTATCCGAATCGAAACCTCCCCATTCCCACTACTTCTAGGTGTAACCGAACTAGAATCGTTGAAATCATCAGACACAAGAGCCTCAGTCTCGGAATTGTTCGGTCTTGGCCCAAGAATTCCGGAATACTCCAATAAAGTCGATACTGGTGCTTGAAAGAAACGTAACGGATTGATTTGCAATCCGTACCTTGATGAGTTGTTGTTTCTTGGTGAAGAAGGTGAAGAATTCGTGTATGTATCATTGCCTGTACCACCTGATGTTTCCATTAAAGAAACCCTAAACCCTTGTGCCTTAACGTTCTTGCGATTCTTGGAGACGAAGAAAGATTTTCGATACACAAACAGATTGAAATGATTGTACAAAGAAGAGGAAAACAAAAGTCAAAGGCGTGAGACAGGGTTAGTGGTGGCGTAGCTACTGCGATATATAAATATATATACAGAGAGAGAGAGAGAGCTTCTGTATGCTTGTGTGAAATGGAGATTCAAGAGCTAACAGGTAGGGAGAGAAGAAGTCTAGGGTTTTATCTGAAAATTGAGATGGATTCCATACGTGTAAACGTGTACCTTCTGCGAATTGGACCTTCCGTCTTTTGTGTAAATTACACTTTGACCCCGTAAATTATTAATTTTTTGATATTACTCCTCAATTATTTAATTTATTTCTCATTACCCTAAACACAAGCACCCGCTATCTTTTTAGATGGAACTTATCAATGTGTCTGGACAAAATGAAAAGAAATCACATAATTTTCGAGGAAAAATAAAATCACTCTATCAAATTTGTAAGAGACGTTAACAATTGAAGCGATGTGAAATTAATCATTTAAGGAAGTCAAAATAGTTTAAAAGACAATGTGATAAAAAAATAATAATAATTGAGGGAGTCAAAGTATATAATTTTTCTCCATTTTTTGGTTCCTTTCTTTCTCTTTTGATAAGGTTTGGTGTTCGTTTTATTTTAGTGATGACTAAGTCAATTTACACTATCTCGGCTAATATTTTCTTTGATTCGCTCAAAAAGTACGTTATCTACGTCGAAATTAGGGTATTCATAGGATAAATAAATTGTCAAAATTTAAATTTAAAATATTTGAATTTACAACTATATCCTTATTACCAATTTGAACTATCCTTAGGTTTGTTCATGTTTAAAATTTCTATAATATCGTTTCTCTTTTTCTCATATTAATTATTCATAATTACATATAATATTTTCATAATTTATATCTTACAACTCTCATATTACTCTCACTCATCTCTAATCTCACTTTAAAATTGAAGACATAGGCAATCGCATGCATAAACACTAATTTATACATGTTTTTTTTTAACAATGGTATTTCCTATAATATTTTTTTCCATTTTTCTTCTCGTCAAATAATCTATGGCGTTTTAATTGTCCAAATACAATGATATTTTATTTTACTATACTATAAAATAATTAAATTAGAGATGAGAGGTATTGAGAAGACTTCCCTCCCTAAATGCTAATTTACTAGAATTTTAAAATATTTAATTAATTCACTCCAATAAAACACTATATGTATCATATTTCTTATATTTAAAATTAAATAAATATCATTTTACTATTAATATAAATTGTCCAAAGATATTAGAATAACGAAAGATTTGATAATACGGTAATCAAAAAAATAATAATAATAAATTCTATTCATGGCATGACGTGTCTATTAGTTGCCTATAATACTTACTCCCTCTAGTACTCATTAAATTTTAATTATCTTTTTTTATTGTCAGGAATTAAATTTTAATTGTTTATGTGTAAAAATTATTATGTTACTTATAGAAAAAGTGTCGGTGAAAAAAATATGTCAGGGATACAACTTAATGCTAGTAACTTGTACCACGGGAATACTAACATTTGCTTCCACCTACTTTACCGATAAATGTGTTGTATTGACTATTCTGTAAATTGTGGTTTGACCTTATCACATTATTCTTTTTTTTTTGTTTTTTTGGGTTTGAGATAATTTATGTGCATTTTGATTAGTCCTCTTCTCAGATCAGGTCAAAAATAAAGTCAACTCTCATAAATCTTTTAGTTCCGGAGTAGATGACCTATCTTTAATTAAATTAAAAAACAGATTAGTCGAAATGTGTGTAAACTGATCAAAACACCTCTGACCGTTGAACCAAAAAAATAAATAATAATATGGTCACATCAAACTATAATTTACATAACAGTCAATATAGCACATTTATTGGCAAAGTAGAGGGAAGAGATATTAAATATATAAAGAATATTATACTGGAAAAAATATATACATAAAATGGAATTAGAACAATAAGATACCAAAATCTTTAAAAAAAAAAAGGAAAAAATATTGATTATTTGCAAAAAAAAAAAAAAGAGATAGAATTATATTTATCAAAACTATATTAAGAGAAAAGATAATTACACTTTGAACAAGAAGAGGCATACATTAAGTTGTAACCATATTTCAGTGTGAAATAAAAACAAGACAACCACTCTTTCGTGGATGTAAGCAAGTTGTCGAACCACTTAAAATTCTCATGTTCATCTTGTTATTTTTGTGTTCTTTTGATTGTTCTTCATACACTAGACACAACACAAAAGCACTGGTACAATTTTCCGCAGATGAACTCACCATTGGGTTCAGCAAATTGATGGAAGATTGGAGCATACCTTAAGCAGCATTCTGAAGAATGGGACGTCATTATTATTACAGACATTCACACAACAGAAAAACTCCACCAGTGTTGTATTCAACGCTCCCTGTCCCAAGATGGGATAAAAGAGGAGAGTTGCGTTACGTAGCCGACAGCCAATGTAAAACTTAGTCGGATCCATTATGATGAGTCCAAACATTCACACAACAGAAACTGAACAGAAATAATATGACACTCAGGCAGAACATCAGTCATCCTTTCCAGTTGTTCTTCCGTTGCCTTATCTCCTGCAGAGCTTCAACCGGGGACTTGCAACCGACCCTCTCCTGTAGAGCAAGCAAGATCCACTTGAGAACGTCATAGGGAACAATGAGGGATGAAAGAAAGAAATAAGCAAAGCTTCCACAATTGGAACTCCCATTTCAAGAAAATCGGTGTCTTGTGGTCTCATAAGCTTCATCAGCATTTTCTTTCAAAAGTTTCAAACAGCAGTGAAAGTGCTTCAAAAGAAATAATAATACCTGAAGCTCTGGCAGATCAACCCGCAAGAATGGATTTGTCTCTAACTCCTCTTCAACGGTTGATGGAACTGTGGGGGTGCCTATCTGTCTCTGATTCTGAGCCCATGACAGCTTTTGCACCATCTTCAAATTCTCTGGTTCAATTGTCAGAGCAAACTGCAAGTTCTTCACTGTATACTGAAGAATCAGAAATAAGAAAAGGGACAAAAGAATTACTTTAAGGCCAATAAATCTGTATAACTTGGAACCACGTTCACCATATGAATGATTTGAATAATAAGTTCTAGAAAGAACGAGAAGGATTGTGCTCGTGCACCGTAGCAGAAATCTAGCAAACAAAATACAATGCGACAAAATTTTGAAAACACCAGGAAATGACAACAATAAAAAAGCAATCATTTTTCAACAAGAGAGGGCTTAAAGCCCTTTCTCACACTTTGAGAATTTCTAAGAATTTTGAATTATTAAAAAAGAAATACAAAGCTTCCTCCAATCACAATCTACCCCTCAACTCTCATGCTAACCAACTACCTTTTATTTAAACTCATTTAAGAAAATTAATTTTATCACCCTATGACTTCATATAATTTTGTATCTAACTTCTAAGTGGTAAGGATAAAGAGGGGCAAGGATGAAGAAGGAAAGTGAAAGTGAGATGATGGGTTGTACATCCAATGCATCGCATGGATCTGCGCCGCTAATATATATTTGTGTGTAAAAATGTTATTGCCAAAGCTTAGGTTTGTCAGAATTGATAGCGGAAGTCATTTTTTTTTGCCTGGAGGTGTCCAAACGGGAGATTATTGTCCAGCATGATGTGAATGAGGTCTTTTGAGTTCTCTTGAATGAACTAATTGTTGCCTTCTTGGGCTCTCTCTTATACACTTTAATGGGCAGAATGGCCTAAAAAGTGTAGATCACTGATTTCTTATTATTTGGACATGTCTTGAGGTCCTTAACCGGCACTTCTATTATAATAGAAACTTCAGTTGAGTTGATAAGGGCGGGTTAGCAAAGTCAATCCTTTGCTTGGTGCCTAGGAGAATGGATATCAGAGCACACTCACTTCCCCTGCAGTAACTAATCTTTGACCAGCCTATGTTTGCTTCTTCTTGCTTAGAGCTGAAAGCCTTCCCAATGACAATGTGAATTAGGCAAAAACTTTAGTTGAGGCGATCAACTAGTTTTTTCCTTTTTCATGATTTTTTTTATAAGTGAGGAAAAGTCCTTTCTTCTCGGGACTATGCTCTCCAAGGCTTATCTCATGTACTAGTGTTTTCTTTCACAATTGGATAAAAATACCATACATATAATATCTACCATTTTTGTATTTGATAAAAAGAACTGTTATTTGCTGTTATTTAAAACAGTAGTGTGTAGAAGTATACAAAATAAAAAAATGGCACAGATCTTCTGGAAGGTTAATAACCAAATCTGATTACTTTGGTAGTGATGCTTCCCAATATTTAGTTTTTAATTTAATTTTTTCATGAATACCTCAGAAGAACATATTGAATATTGATGTTATTATGTGCATGCAACTATTTTACCTCATGGCCACAGTAAACACGAGTTGTCTTGGGCAACGAGGCCAATGTCACACACAGTGATTGATGCATTTGTTCTGCTGTGCCCTCAGCAAACTTACCACAACCAGCAATAAACTGCAAGATAGATAAAATGCCAATAATCAATAATCAATCGTTCTGGGCCATTCGATGTACCATTTAGAATTAAGATGACCACTGTGTAGGATGATGTAGTCTACTACCAGGCTATCAGCAAACAGAAAGGACTATAAAAAGTATTGGCCTCAATATCCATTTACTGTTCTTGCCCACAAATTTCTAGGTGATATCCAGCGGGCTGAAAATCCAGAAATCTCTTCCAAAAACCTGCTAATCCTAAACACATCCAAACATTTTTCATCCTAATTTCTTCTTTTGTCAATTAAGTTAACTAAGATCAACCACGTAATATAAAAGAAGATGCATTCCTATATAGTAAGCAGTGGTTCCCTTGGTAGTTTTTTTCCGGGTCAGAGGGGAGGAGCGGGCTATGCAATGTAGAGCATATGTACAATCCCCTTAGTATTGAAAGTGGATCAAGCATTTATCTTACGCCATCCACCTGCCAACCTAAACTCCAGACTCCTAGAAAATCCAAATTCCCATTTTCGTTCCTAAGAAAAATAAGCAATGAAACAAATAACTCTTAAGTGGTTGCAAAATTAGTAAGAACTCAACATCTCTAATTACCAGTGTATCTCCTGTGAAAACAGCAGGGTCTTCTCGCTCTTTGCTAGTTACATAGTAACTTATATGGCCTTTTGTGTGGCTGATGAAAGCAATTTCAAGAAGCGGGGAAAAAGGGTGAGATAAAATCTTATAATATTCTTATACAATGGTAAGCAAACTAGTAAATACTCCAAATATAAACGATCAATGCACTATAAAAAATTTAGGCATGGAACATAAATGTGGTACACCTGGAATCTATCAGTTCTAGGGTGAAAAAGAAAGAATCATAGCTGAAGTCATACAATAAACAAGCATAACTACAAGATTCACTGTAACTAGATTGACAACACATACCAAGGTGTGTGGAGGCACAAGATGTCGGTATTAGTCCCAAGTGACAACTTATCACCATTTTCAACCTCTTTTGTGCATCCCCTCACATTATCAAGGGAACCACCATAAACCATAATCCCAGGCACCAACTCTTTTATCTTGTCATTTCCACCAGCATGATCCCTATCCCATATGAAATTATCAGCATCTAAAGTATGTGTATACATACATAATCATGCAATACGCATAATAAACAGGTAAATTAACTAACAAATCAAATTTATAAATAAGCCCAATTACACGAATCAACCATAATATCCAGCCAACTAACAATTATTACCTCAAAAATTTGAATACAATTCCGGCTCATTCCATCTCTAACCTTGACTCAATTTTTTTTCTTAAATTTGAGTCCACATTAAAAAACTCGATTTTATACAAATAACTCCAGACAAACTCAAATGTAAATAAGTACAAACTCAAATTTAAAAGGTGGATAACCTCAATGTGACACATGACCATTGAATCTTTAAAGTGTGTGAAATTTAATTATTGAAGATTTGAGTCTGTCTTTATTTTAGTAAAAAATTTATTTGGTATGAGTTTGAATCAAAGAGTAACCCTTGTTTTTAATTTATTTTTACTCAAATTTAAATTCAAATCTCCAATTGAAAATTCTAGAAACTCAGGTAGTGAATCGGTAATGGAACAGACCAGTGATGGTGAGTAGTGAGAACAAACTTGAGATCAACGCCATTCTCTTCAGCAACTTTGAGAACCTTCTCAGGCTCAACTGGGTCCACCACTGCAGCCACTTTCGTTGTCTCATCGATGATCCTGTAGCACACATCAATTCAATCACATTCATATATATATATATATATATATAATCGTCCGATTATGTGAAATCCCTGAGCATAATCGGAGGATTTTGTTCGCACATGTAGGAGTAGTTGTCTTCCAAGCAGGGGACGTGAAGAATCTTCATCTCCGGCGCCTGTCAACTAACCCCAGTTCCTGTTTTGCCCTGCTTTCTTCTTTTCGGTCTCCGACTTTGAAATGAGAATAAGACGGTCGGTGAATTGTCAGAGTATGACGTGACCCTCGAGCTGACGTGGACGCAGACGACCGTTCACCGAGGTACGCACCTACGCTAATGCCGATCCGTCACGAAATTAAAACAACACTACCTGGCGGGCTATGTCAGGCGGCATAATTGGTTATCGGACTCAATTCGGATTAGTTAACCGAATTGTGAATTTGGGTTCAACTCGTTTTTAATAGTTCCGGTTGGGTTTGAGTTGAACTCATAAATTCAAATTATTAATTTGGGTTGAAAATTTTCAGTCTAATCCCAATTTAAGTCTTATTTTTTTTAGGCTGAATTCGAGTTACCTCGCCCAATTACACATTTTAAAATTATTAAAAGAGACAGCGAGCTCAATACCAAGAGCCTAAAAATTCTCAATATTATTCTTATATTCTTACACTTTTAAATGTATCCACTTTCCTGAATATACAATGATTGATAACCAAAATAAATTTGACGAGACAGGAAACGATACCCGTATCAGAACATGACACGTAGATACAAACAATAAACCATCGAAAAAATAGGTTGAGCCCTAATACAAAACTCGAAGAGACTTTCCTCATCCCATGTTCAAAAGGAGCATTCCAAAACCGGATTTCTCGGACATGTGTATTTAATGTTCGAAATCAATGTATGACTACATGGTTCAATAAATACCTTGTAAAGATTATTAAACACCGAAGAGATGTGTATTGAATATTCGACATCCTAGATAAGGTAATTATTACATGATTAGATCTCGAGAAGACGCGGACCTCCTTTAGACCTAGTAATTGCTCAACTTGAAAGAAATATAACTCACCGATGATTACTCCTATAAAAATTTTCTCTACAGGCTTAATGAGACCTCTATAGTATCACATCATCCTATTAGAAGAAATAAATACCCTCAAGAAGTTGAATCACATGTACACATTCGTGAACAGCCTAGAATAGTANCGGAGGATTTTGTTCGCACATGTAGGAGTAGTTGTCTTCCAAGCAGGGGACGTGAAGAATCTTCATCTCCGGCGCCTGTCAACTAACCCCAGTTCCTGTTTTGCCCTGCTTTCTTCTTTTCGGTCTCCGACTTTGAAATGAGAATAAGACGGTCGGTGAATTGTCAGAGTATGACGTGACCCTCGAGCTGACGTGGACGCAGACGACCGTTCACCGAGGTACGCACCTACGCTAATGCCGATCCGTCACGAAATTAAAACAACACTACCTGGCGGGCTATGTCAGGCGGCATAATTGGTTATCGGACTCAATTCGGATTAGTTAACCGAATTGTGAATTTGGGTTCAACTCGTTTTTAATAGTTCCGGTTGGGTTTGAGTTGAACTCATAAATTCAAATTATTAATTTGGGTTGAAAATTTTCAGTCTAATCCCAATTTAAGTCTTATTTTTTTTAGGCTGAATTCGAGTTACCTCGCCCAATTACACATTTTAAAATTATTAAAAGAGACAGCGAGCTCAATACCAAGAGCCTAAAAATTCTCAATATTATTCTTATATTCTTACACTTTTAAATGTATCCACTTTCCTGAATATACAATGATTGATAACCAAAATAAATTTGACGAGACAGGAAACGATACCCGTATCAGAACATGACACGTAGATACAAACAATAAACCATCGAAAAAATAGGTTGAGCCCTAATACAAAACTCGAAGAGACTTTCCTCATCCCATGTTCAAAAGGAGCATTCCAAAACCGGATTTCTCGGACATGTGTATTTAATGTTCGAAATCAATGTATGACTACATGGTTCAATAAATACCTTGTAAAGATTATTAAACACCGAAGAGATGTGTATTGAATATTCGACATCCTAGATAAGGTAATTATTACATGATTAGATCTCGAGAAGACGCGGACCTCCTTTAGACCTAGTAATTGCTCAACTTGAAAGAAATATAACTCACCGATGATTACTCCTATAAAAATTTTCTCTACAGGCTTAATGAGACCTCTATAGTATCACATCATCCTATTAGAAGAAATAAATACCCTCAAGAAGTTGAATCACATGTACACATTCGTGAACAGCCTAGAATAGTAAAAGTTTTATCCTCGATTTGATCTGCTATTGACTTAGGCATTAGAAAGATTAAATTGGATACGTTTTCAACTCTCTTCTAACCTTGTTTTTTGTTGCAAGAGCAAAAGCGCACAACCACCACCGTAATACAGTAAATTATCTCAAACTATTGCAAAAATTCACCCGTACAAAATCCAAAGGTATACTGTATACTCTCCACAGCAGACTCGAAATAGGTATCCACTCATTTACGTGAATTTAATATGATCTTATTTCCAAGCCCAGTGCAATGGTGTCTCTGTAAATAACTAGAAAATTATGAAACAATTACGGAAAGTTGAAAACAAAACCCCATTCTTATTTGTGCTTATGAGATGATGCAATGAAATTGATCATTCTACCCCAAAAAGACCAACAAACCCCCAAGTCCAAACAACACCTCCCATCTACCAGCAGTCCTTTGTGTTGGATGAAGTGTTTTCAAAATTTGCATGTAACCCTTTGAGTGTGTGTTCATCAATCACCTCCGCCACCCGCCAGACGGCCAAAATCCTAGCCACCAAAAGCACTGGTCTGACCATTAGTGTGAGCATACTGAAGAAGATTGAAGTAAATCTTAAGCAACATTATGCATGCTAAAAGCTTAAAACAGATACAACAGCTGACAGTTTTTGTGACTAGGGAGTTTTACATTAAACAACAACAGTTCCACAACTTAATTTTAGAGCATAATTTTGTCCATGACACTTCAATTTTATTACAGATACTCCCACAACAAACACAACAGAAATAACATTACACTCTGCAGATCATTAGTCACCCTCGCCAATTATCCTTCCGCTGCCTTATCTCCCTCAGGGCTTCAATGGGTAACTTGCACCCAACCCTCTCCTGCAGAGGAGCAAGATCCATTTACAATGAGGAATCCAATGTTTCTAATACAGATTTTCAAAAACATGAAGTGTAGAGACAAGTGAGCACAGCTTCCGCACTCAAGAACTCCAATTTCATAAAAATCGGGGTCTCAGGGGGTCTAATAAGCATTCATCAGCGTTCTTCTTTCAAATTTTCACAAAAGTGAAGTTACTGCAAAAGGAATAATTATACCTGAAGTTGTGGTAGATCAATCCGCATGAATGGATTTGTCTCTAATTCTTCTTCAATAGTTGAAGGAACAGTAGGGAGGCCTGGCTGTCTTTGTTTCTGAGCCCATGATAACTTTTGCGCTATCTTCTCATTCTCTGGTTCAACAGTCAGAGCAAACTGCAAGTTCTTCACTGTATACTGAAGATTCAGAAATAGGAAATATTATTTTCTCCATAGGAACAAAGGAATATAAGGCTTGCAGGAATTTAGTGAACACAACAAGAATTTTTTTTTTGAAAACACCAGGAAATAACAAAAATAACTCCAGGAATGATGAACTCAGCTGTGAAACTTCAGATTCACATCAAATGAGAAGTAGATTTGGTAGTTAAAGAATGGATAGTAAGGTCCAAGAAGACAAAATTATCTGTATTAAAAGGAGCTTCAACTTCAAAAAGACATAAAAATTAAAAAATAAATAACATAACACATATACCAGCTCCTCCTGGTGGTATTTTAGGGAGGGACATCTCCATGGTTGGGGTTATGCTTAGAATTATAGCTTTTTTGTTAAACATGAAAATGAAAAATCAAATTCATTGATTTTGAGGGTAGAATGATATCTTAGAAAAGTCTCTTTCGGTCATTTTCCCCATACTAAGAAAAGCTCAATAAGCCACTTCAAGGGGCAAAACTTCTTTCCTAAAGAATCTACGGGTGCTGCTTGCCAGTTACCTGTTTCCTTCAGTGATGGAAAAAAGTTCTATGGTTAGTTCACAGGCTTACAATCTTTCGGGAGGTGCATATGCAGTATTCTATCCCAACCGCAGTCATCTCAAAATTCCACATACTTTCGAAGCAGCCTTCCACACAAATCAAAGGGCTGCATACTTTCTCAAGGGCGANGGCTTACAATCTTTCGGGAGGTGCATATGCAGTATTCTATCCCAACCGCAGTCATCTCAAAATTCCACATCAACTTTCGAAGCAGCCTTCCACACAAATCAAAGGGCTGCATACTTTCTCAAGGGCGACATTCTGTCTAATGTTTGGCATTTCTAGAGTATGCCAAAGCCAATGCCGTATTTGGCTGGCTGTCGGGCATCTAGAATCATTAAGAGGTAAAAAAGAGTTCTCCTAGTCAAAAGGTAAGGCTGTAAAACAAAGCAAGATACTCAGACTTGATTATCAATCGACATTGACAGTGAGGTAAACAAGTCAAACATGAGGGCATTAAAGCTCATTAATTTATAGAGCTCGGTTTTTTGGTAAGTAAAGTTTTTATTCAGCGCCAAAAGGAAGAGACACAAATCCAAGGGCATGAGGCCCATCTATACGATAAAGAGGAGTGCAAAAGAAAGAAAGAGGTTTGGGGTCATTCCCCCACAAGTGAAGGGCTTGACACCAACTAATAAGTTAAAGCTCATTAAGAATTTCGAATCGGACTTGAGCAACCGATTACTTGGGTAGTTTACACCCTAACTGAAAAAACTTTTCTGTTTTGTTGGTAATCTAAAGTACATATATATATACAGAAATTTATAAGAACTAATTTACCAGAAAGATCTCAAAATAACATATTAATGGCATTATGTGTATGTATCCATTTTACCTCATGGCCACAGTAAACTCGAGTTGGCTTCGGCAGCGAGGCCAATGTCACACATAGTGATTGATACATCTGTTCAGCTGTGCCCTCAAAAAACTTACCGCAACCAGCGATAAACTGCAAAACAGATCAAGTGACTGTAATCACTCTTTACGAGCCGATCAAATGAACATGTAGGACGAGAAAGCCTACCATCAGCAAACAAAAAAGTCTATTAAAAGCATAGGCCTCAATACCCATTTACTGACCATAAATTTATATGTGACATCCCTTGAAGTACAAGAACAGGCCATAAATCTAGAAATCACCTCTAAACACCCCAAACTTCTAGAATTCAAATTCTCCTTTCTGTACCCACAAAATATCAAAACCGAAACAAATATTCTGTGAAGATTGGATGCAAAACAGCAGAAGATGAGAACACAATATTTATCGTTACCAGAGTGTCTCCTGTGAAAACAGCAGGATCCTCTTCCTCTTTGCCAGTTACATAGTAGCTTATATGACCTTTTGTGTGGCTGATGAAAGCAATTTCAAGAAGCATGGAAAAAAAGTGAGATGAAATCTTATACAAATGAAACAAAGCAGGCAAATCTTATACAATAGTAAATGAACCAGTAGATGCTTCAGACATTACAACAACATTTAGCAATGCTTGAAAAATATGAACTACAACTCACCAGGAGCTTGTTCTACTAAAACTGGAAGGAAACTGACATGGAAAAAAGCATTTTTTTCAATGACATATGCCCTACCACTAGGTCTCAACGTGACACCATCCAACAAATCATAAAGAGCAATGCACCAATGAAGAAATGCAGACATGCCACTATAAACAGTGACAAGTGTAACTACAGCAAATTTTAAGCAACAAGATTAGCAACACTTACCATGGTGTATGAAGGCACAAGATATTGATATTAGCCCCAAATGACAACTTATCACCATTTTCAACCTTGTTCGTACATCCCCTCACATTATCAAGCGAACCACCATAAACCTTAATCCCAGGCACCAACTGTTTTATTTTATCATTTCCACCAGCATGATCCCTATCACACAAGAAATTATCAGCATCTAAACTATTTGCATACATACACAATCACCCAATACATATACCAAATGGTAATGATTAACTAATAAATCAAAATTATAAATAAGCCCAAATTACAAAAATCAACAATAATATCCAGTCAACCAACCATTTATTGTTTCAAAAAAAATAAAACCCAGTTCTAACTTTCTTTTTTTTTTTTAGCAAATAAAAAGGGTTGGTAGTAACCCGGGCATGACCATGAAGGTCCCACGTCTGATTTGAACCATTGCTACTAATTTGAATAGCAATCCGTCACCATAGAACTACCAAAGTCATAAAGCAAACCGCCCCTTACTAGAGTCAAGACAATCCTAAACAACCACAGCTTATCACTAGACCACCACCTCAAGTGCTACACAGTTCTAACTTGAATAACTGAAAATTTAGAAAAGCAGGTATTGAATTGGAAATAGAGCAGACCAGTGATGGTGAGTGGTGAGAACAGATTTGAGTTCAACCCCATTCTCTTCAGCAACTTTGAGGACCTTCTCAGGCTCAACTGGATCCACCACTGCACCTTCTTTCGTTGTCTCATCGATGATCCTGGAACACACCTCAATACAATCACATAAATTATAAAAATTCATACACTTCTACATATATATAATCCTGCGATTAGCTGAAATCCCTAAGCATAACAACAACAATTCCCAAATCAAACATGGGTTTTGTTCGTACACGTAGGAGTAGTTGTCTTCCAAGCAAGGAACGTGAAGAATCTTCATCTCCGGCGTCGGTCAATTAAGCCACTTCTGTGTTTACTCTACTTTTTTCTTCTCGACGTTTGCTCAGATTTTGAGGGTGATGATAAGACGATCGGTGCAATGACAGAGTCTGATGCGGCGTCTCAGTACGCGACAATCTGCGTAATAAAACAGATCTGTCATTAAATTTTATTTCAATCATATTTTTTTTTTAAAAGTATTATTAATCACTTATCTTACCGTCATTCTTTTATCCTATTCAAACGTTAAATCACATAATTTATTTATATCATATATCTAATTATTTATATATATTTTTTTTTAAAAATATCACATTACTTATTTTTATCATATATTTAATATTTGATTAATTTATAATTAATATATTTAAAAAAATAATATAATAAAATCTATTTTTTATTGTTTCTTCAACCACGAGTTATTATTAGTGAATTTTACATCATACAACATAGTAGTTATTGAACATAGTGTTTATTAGTATTTAATGAATTAAATAGGTTTATTAAATTTATATAATAATTTATTACAAGGCAAGCAAGAAGCCTTTCTTTTTATCCCTGGGTTGTTTTTTTCTATCCGGGCATGGGGATTAGAGAAAAAGAGTTTTGAACAAACGCTTGAAAATATGAGTTGAAAGTGATCAAAGTTATAAATTATCCGTAGGAAGGACAAGAAAAAGAGAAAGTCTTCTTATCAAGTAACTTTATTCATTATAAAATTATCGGGCTTTGCCAAAGAAAAAAGAGAGTCTCATTCCTAAGGTGTGTAGCAAAGAATCCACTGAAACTAGATTTGAAAATACTGATGTGCTCTATGAAAGCAATCGAATGTTATGTGTAAAGCATATGAAATGACTAGTCGGATAGTTCAATAACAGTTCANACTCATATTTTCTTTTTTAAAACTATTATTAATCACTTTTCTTACCGTCATTCTTTTATCCTACTCAAACCTTAAATCACATAATTTATTTATATCATATATCTAATTATTTATATATTTTTTTTCTTAAAAATATCACATTACTTATTTTTATCATATATTTAATATTTAATTAATTTATAATTAATATATTTTTAAAAAAATAAATATAATAAGATCTATTTTTTATTGTTTCTTCAGCCACGAGTTATTATTAGTGAATTTTACATCATACAACATAGTAGTTATTGAACATAGTGTTTATTAGTATTTAATGAATTAAATAGGTTTATTAAATTTATATAATAATTTATTACAAGGCAAGCAAGAAGCCTTTCTTTTTATCCCTAGGTTGTTTTTTTCTATCCGAGCATGGGGATTAGAGAAAAAGAGTTTTGAACAAACGCTTGAAAATATGAGTTGAAAGTGATCAAAGTTATAAATTATCCGTAGGAAGGACAAGAAAAAGAGAAAGTCTTCTTATCAAGTAACTTTATTCATTATAAAATTATCGGGCTTTGCCAAAGAAAAAAGAGAGTCTCATTCCTAAGGTGTGTAGCAAAGAATCCACTGAAACTAGATTTGAAAATACTGATGTGCTCTATGAAAGCAATCGAATGTTATGTGTAAAGCATATGAAATGACTAGTCGGATAGTTCAATAACAGTTCACGACAAGGTGGAAAGAATATATGATCTTAATAAACAATTACGACTTGATTTCACATTTTTTCACATGAAACCCCTATGGAATCAATCAGACGAATAATAGGAAGGGTTTGAGCGTCTCCTACTCTACTATACTATATTGGGCAAGCACGGAAGAGGCACACCTGTCAGCTAACCTTTATTTTATACTCAGTCTTTTATTTGAACAAGCAAATAAAGTAAAAAATGAAAAAAAAAAAAAATAACCAAGCTAAGATTAAGGTGAATCAACTAAGTTCCCTAGTCAGCTCCACAGATGATGGGCCTTTTAATTAAAGGGTAAGCATTAAGCATTACAATTTGAGAAGGGAAGGCCGAAAGGCAAGGCATACATTTTATTTTAAATATTATTTGACATATTTTGAATTTCGAGAGAATCAAAGTCCATGGTGACTTTATGATTTCAAACACACTTGCTACATTGTTTACTCGAATTGGCATGAGATTCTTAATCTTGACTACTTGAGCGACTAAAACAACGTGTAATACTAACTCTAAATTCTTTTTTTCTATTTTTGGGATCAAAGACTTAAATCAAACTGAAAAAGAAAAAAAAATGAGATGGAATTGAAAAGAAACAATGTGTGGGCATAATGAAACAAAGCAATTATATTGAACAATGTGCTTGAAATAAACTTAAATAAATCATCAGAGTGATAACAAAATTACAAAATAAAAAGAAAAATATGAAATTAAGACAAGTTTGACATGTTGTTTGTAGGAGAGTTGATCATGAATCATTTATTTGTGATCTATGTCTTTGCATTTATAGGCAGTGACTTCTAACCGTTAGAGTCATCTTTTTTCGACTAGTTAACCTGTAGTTATGGATTCTCCCTCAATGTCTCTCATCATGCCCTAAAACGGTCAATAATTGACATCTCCACCACTACATATCCTCACATTGCTCTCTACTTTTTTTTTAGATCTTTGAAGATCTTTCCTCATAATTGCCAAATTGTCTAGAATTTTTCCTGACTTATCCCTAATTCTTAGAATGTGTCACATATCTTTATAGAAATTTTCATATTTTAATGTAAACAACTATAAATTATAATGGTGTAAAATATTGAGAAACATGCTAGTGAAATAGTTATTAGTTAAGTGTGGTGAGCTATGTGCTAGAGTGAATGTGAAATGCACTAAATTATAGTGGTTTTTCCTACCGAAGAACAAGAGTAATTCATTGTAAATGAGTCTCTTACCCTTGATATTTTTGTATTGCCAGAGGAATAAAATGAGTACAATAGGGTTTTCATGGGGAACAGTGTCTAGGCTTACGCCATTTATAAATAATCATTGCTTTACAAAACATAATTATCAAGGTAGAGTTTGATCGAGTGATTTTTCTTTTACCCTTCCATGTAAAACCTATGTTGTGGGTTAGTCTTAGTTGGTGTGTGTGTTTTTTTTCAACAGTTAAGGGTGTTTAAATCGGTTTACGTGTACTTTAATTAATCTCTTTTCTAGTCTAATCAAAAGCAAACCATCCACATTGAGACTAGTGTATTTTCGAAAGATAAATCTCTCATTATTTGGTCCCAAATAGTTGTTAATATTCGAATTCAATACGTCTGAGTTCGTAGTTAGTTTTTGTTATCATTTAAGCTATCCCTTCAAATTGTATTGGTTGGTATTATGGCCCCAAAGTTGTACCCCCGGACTAGTTGAATACAGGTCAGCTCGTCTAGGAAACATAGAACCCTATCCGAACTGTCCATTTTTATTTCTGGCATGATCAATTGTAAGAGTATTTTAACAAAAGAGTACTTTTATGTGAAAAACTCAATCCTACATCAACTAAATTTTTAAAAGTATTAGAGTATATATATATATATACGTGCTATCTAGCCATGGAGTTAAGTAAGACTTTAAAACTCTCACGTGCATAGAAGTGAGAGCAGTAGAAAAAGTGCAAGATTCTAAAATTTACGAAGCATTGTTTATATATTTCAAAATAGATATATATATACTTTCATATCTACTATATTCTTTCCTATTGCATTAGTTTTTAGATAATATAGAAAGGTGTCATGTGAAATTTTGGTTTCATTTGATTGTGCAAATTTAAGTGAAGCATCAATCAATTAAGTTAGATTTTGTATTCTATTACGATACATTATTTATATAGTTCAGAATAGATATAATATTCACTACATTCTTTGTTATTGCATTAATTTCTGGACAATATGAAAAAATATAATGTAAAGCTTCTACTTCATTAGATTGTACAATTTTAAACGAAGCAACAGTCAATTAGGTTGAATTGTCACATTTTGAGGACGACACGTTGCTACCTTCTGAATTGTATTTCTTTCATAAAAAGAGACGAATCATCTTAAAGAGCGAATTAGTCAAAGTCTCAACCTCCTCTCTTCTGGATTCATATTTCTAACATCCAATTATAAATCCCTAAAAATAAAATTTTCAGTCGAAAAATATTTTTCAATAAGATAAAGCGATGATATCCAAATAAATTCAAATACAAATATTGCCGAGGGCTGGCTGACTTGACTTTGCTTAGCCAAGGGGAAATGTTGAGCAGACAGAGAGCTGTAAAGCGCGCAACGATTGGTTACATTTGGGGCGTCTTCCAAAAAGGCAAGAAAGGGTAGCAAAGCCGCTTCTCTATATAAATCCATCTCTCATTTTCTCTTCTCCTGCTGTTGATTTTATTCAGCCAGTCGATCAAACACTTGATCTGCTTTGAGTTTGTGACTTCCGTGAATCTAAAGAACGAAAGAAAAAATGTCAAAACCCTCATCCAGATTTATCATCAGATACCTCCATCACAATCACATCTCATCAAAACCTTCAATACCCACAAACCCAAATGCTACTACCAGTAGTAGTAGTAGTACTAGTACTGGTATGTCTCATCTTCTTTCTCATCACCCAAAAAAGCCTAGCCCAATTTCTCCATGGCTCTCAACTTCTCAGAGAATTCATTTCTCATGTTCGTCAATTTCAAAGATTGGTGAGAACCCAGTTCAAAATATTTATCCACAGTTCAATTTGTTGTCTACTAGGAATTTTCTAGGGTTTAGATACATGTCATTCAAGAGTTCTGAGATGGGTTCTAAAATGAACGGAGATTTTGCAAAGAATGTGGTGAAAAACCCGGTAGGGGCTGTTCAGAAGACCTTTGCTCGGTACAAGGAAGCAGTGGGATTGCAGATTGATGCGTTTTGGAAGAGGAATTCTCTGGTGTTAATAGGTGCAGGAGGGGTTGTGGTGTGCATTTTGTTATGGAGGGTTCTGTTTGGGATAGCCAACACTTTTGTTGGGCTATCCGAAGGAATGGCCAAGTATGGATTTCTTGCTCTTTCCACCGCTATCGTCGCATTTGCTGTGAGTTTTTCTTTTGAAATTATCAATTACTGAATTGTTTTGTCTTGTATATTGCATTGGTAAGTGAGCAATTGAAACTTTTAGATTTAGTGTATGTTGTTTCCTCCTCCATTAGTTGATACTTCAAGGGGTTTTTACCTGGAATGAAAGAACAAAAATGAATTCATGAAGGTTTAATTACTGAATCGCTTCCCAATGGTATGTTCCGGCTTCATCTGGATTATGAAGATCTGTTTCTCTGTTGAAAGATCCGACGTAGTTTTTGGGTCCTGAACCACAATCATAGGGAATTTTGATCAATAAATGAGTCTCCTGTCTTTGGGTATCGATTGACCACCGAGTATGCCAACCACAATTTGCGTGATGTTGCTTGATTAGTTGTTCTTCAGTTATCCAAGTAATCTGTCATTTATTCTGCATGATTTTGTTTTGCTGTGAGTCTAGATGTCAAAGTAGCTTAACCAGTATAATATCTGTTGAAGAGGGTTTGCTATGTTGCATGCTTTATGTACTGCACCATCGTTATGTTGGACATAGCACTAACAGATGCATAGCTCTTGGGCATTTTGTTCAAAGCTGACCTGTTATCCTATTGTCTGCGACGATCCCTCAAATTCTTTGTAATTTTCATTCTGTTGGTCTTTCTTTTGGCATGTCAAGGTTGACTGTTTTCTCATTTGACACACCATTGTTAGAGTACACAAGTTGATTGTTAAAGGGCAGGTCATGGAATAATGATTATTCCCAGATACATGAGGAAGCTGGTTGATTGCGTTTAACATGTTAGGACACTGATATAAAGCCACAATAGAATACCTCTGTTACTACAGCCTGCTGGCAAATGATTTTAGTTATTTCCCAGACACTATAATATGGCATGCTGTATGGTGGTAAGTTTTTATGTTTGAAATTTTACTCTTCTGCTTCAGCATAGTAAGATTGTGAATCTCTACTCCATCGCCTATGTTGCGAATTACATAGGTGTACTTCGGGTGGGGGATCTATTCCTTGGTTGATGAGGCTCCGCCTGTTGGAAGCCTAAATCAGTTTGCTTTTTTTTTTTTACCTTTTCCAACCTTTTTTCCTCCTTTTGGGGCATAATTTTTGTTTAACCTGTGATTTTTAGACTATAATGATAATTATGAAGTCCAGCTCTGATAGATTCAATAGGTCAGTGAAAATCAAGGTCCTAATTGAATTTTCATGGAAGATTCTTATAATCAATCATGATTGCTTTTTTACTGGAATTGAGTTATTATTGTTCTTCATTTATTGAACAATTGGTAAGCTTAATGTCATTTTTGTAAATGTGAAGGGATTGTATCTTCGTTCAAGATTCACCATCAATCCCGATAAAGTCTATAGAATGGCCATGAGGAGGCTTAATACATCGGCTGGGATTCTTGAAATTATGGGTGCTCCACTCACAGGGACAAATCTGAGAGCTTATGTAATGTCTGGAGGTGGTGTTACTTTGAAGAAATTTAAGCCAGGGCTTCGGGGCAAACGATGTTTTCTTATCTTCCCAATTCATGGTTCTGAGAGAAAAGGCTTAGTCAGCGTTGAAGTCAAGAATAAGAAAGGCCAGGTTTGCTTTGATACTTGCTGCCTATATTTTTCCATATTATGAAGCAAGAAATATTTCTGTGATTGAGTAATTCGCCTCTCTATGTTAATTTTTCTTCCTGCCTGAACCTCCTTATGTGAGTTGTAACATTTCTAGGAAGTGTGTTGAAGTTCAACAAAACTATGGCGTATATGTTTTCTTGAAGTATGTAATTTGCAAGAATGGACAAGTGATAAGATATATGTTCATACTGGTACAGTCTTTTCTTTCAACTTATCTCCATGAGACGTACAGATAGCACAGGTCAGGCCCCAAGCCACATAGAGTGGGATTGAGATAAAAAAACGAGAGAGTGAGAAAGCACCAGAGCCTGAAATGTTATGCAAGTGGGAGTGCTACTAGAGCATAATTTAAACAGCGAACGTAAACATACTGTTTTTTTTTTTTTTTTGGTTTAGGAGTCAAAACGATATGTCTGGGAGAGGCGCGATATAGATTGAACACCATATATGCATGTTTTCTCATCTTTAATATATACAGTGGGATTCATAAACGCACACATACCAACTCCAATACACCCATTTGATCATGTGAGAAAGTAGACAAATGGAAGGGAGTTGGGGGAGTTCTTCATTATCTTTGGGGACTGAAATCTATTTTCCAGACCTCGAAAGGAGACCACATAGCATTAGTTAAGGAAGACTTGTATTCTCCATCATATGGCTTCAGTCATTTTTCCTTTGTCTTGAGGTTTTAGGTCTTAAGTAGACCCTTTCACTTGTGGAAAAAGAAAGAACCAAAAAAAATTAACTAGTCAACCCTGTACTCTTCTTACATCAGCATTTGATGCTTCTCTCTCTGCAGTATGATATGAAGTTACTTGCTGTGGATATTCCCATGGCAACAGGACCTGACCAGCGTCTATACCTTATTGGGGACGAAGAAGAGTACAGGGTTGGTGGTGGACTCATTTCTGAACTAAGAGACCCTGTTGTAAAAGCAATGGCAGCAACTAAGGAGTTTGAAGATCGTGACGAGTTGGAGGACGAAGAGGATGCTGAAAGAGAACTTCAGGAAGCAGAAAGAAAGCACCATGAAGAAATTGAAAAGCTCGAAAGAGAGAGTTCACGATGAGTGATTCCGAAAAGGTTTTTAGTAGTTCACGTTTGTTGCAAAGTTGTGTTTTTGTTTTTTCATTGAGAGTTGTCCAAACAGGAACTTCATGCCTTCGCCATCCAAACGCAAATGTAACCTTCGTAAGACTTGCATTACCTTATCCGGCTGAATGGCTGATACCTTTTTTCTAGAAATTATGTTTCTCCGCATAAATTTGAGATGTGAAAATCGTAATAATCGAAGAATTTTGAAAGAATCCGAGACTTTTTGGGGTATCTGACCATGCATGAAGCTTATATTTGCTATAATGTTCGCAAATATAATTTTAATTGTCATAGAATTCACTCTGTGAGCTATTGAATACCACGCCACATTGCATCTCACATGGCTACACTCAACTGATATTGATGAGACACTCTGGACCGTTGAACTAAAAAATGTGATACTGACCACTCGGTAGAGTCATAGAGATGGTAACATGCCTCTGACGAGTACAAAAGTAGGCTAAAAGCTTCAATGGAGCATTTTTGCTTATCACAAAAATCTTCGAGTTGTGAAATGTTATACAACTGGGTCGAGTTGAGTTTGGACGTTGGGAGTTAACATTCATCCTTTCATTTCTGTAGAAATGCTGAAAATAAATACGACAATGATACATACCGCCAGAAACAAACAGTTCATCATGAAAGCACAACAGAAGGCTGGACATGAAGGAACAGAAAAAGGCATCGCGAAGACATCCCAAAATTTTGAATTCTTCACATTCAAGAGAAAACGATCCAACTTTTAGCTCGACCATTGCTTCAGAATATGTGATCCTCAATGTTAAATAAGCGCTTTGAAAGCGTTGATTGTCTCGCTTCCTGTAAATGCCTGTTGAGTTAATTGTTGATTTTGACTCAAGCACCATGAGTAGAGAGGTCGATGAAAATTTCCACCCGAAGGAACTGACAAGAGTAACCCATATTTTACTTCCACCAAAGTTGATAACAAAAATGTTTGTGCGCGTGAGCTTCTGTTTTTGTGTGTGTGTGTGTATGTGTGAGAGAGAGAGAGAGAGAGAGTACAAAATCTATTGGCCTGCAATTAAGTGTTCGAAATTCCCTTATAGCCTTCTGTCTCAAGAACTTGAGCTAAAGAGATGTCTCCAGTCTTCACTATGTTCCCATCCTCCTGGAAGAAAATGGCTCATTATGAGTAAAACTAAGATTATGATCCACAATAAAAAATACTAAAAATGTAATCAACATGCTTACTTAGCAAAGGGAAACATAGAAACTGAAATATGATCAATGACCGCGATGGTGACCATACAACGAACGATATGCTTACCATAATGTGGATATAGGTAGGCTTGATGAATTCCAAAAGTCGTTTGTAATGAGTAATCATCAAAACTGAATTCTTAGGAGTCAAGAGACCATTTACTGCTTTTGCCACATCTTGAAGCGCGTCAACATCCAATCCAGAATCTATTTCATCCAATATAGCCAAATCCGCCCCCAGAATCTGTAATTAACAGGAGCAAAGTCAAAAATGAAATGAAAAAAGGGAAAGTTCAGAAGTGGTTGTGTTTAATGCGGCAATTTTTGCATTTTAAAGATCAAAAAAAAAAAAAACATGGTAATCATCCTCTGGACCTCTGGTAAAAAGAAAGAAAAGAATACCAAGCAGTACAAAACCCTGCACTCATCTAGATTCTTCTCAACTCTGTTTTGGACAGTATCATGTTTACTAGTTAAAACAAAAGAAAAATGCGCAGTAGTTATAAAATCAACTATTCATGTACGTAAAATCTTTCCCATATTCCCTTTCTACCAGCAGTTTTCTTATATTGACTTGAATTACTACCGCCATCTATCGTCTAAGCAAGCCAACTTAGACTGATTAGAAGGCCATTCATTGATGATCCTGAAATATGCAGCGCCAAGTACATTCGGAGACAAGTAAACGCTTTCCTTTTACCTAGCCCTTTAGAATAATGAGGGCAAAATTAAACAGTATTCTTTGGGTTAGGATGACACAAGAAAAGATATTCAGTTTAAACTAAATTCATACCGCAAGCTGCAAAATCTCATTGCGTTTCCGTTCACCACCACTGAAGTTCTCATTTACATTTCTGTTTAAGAAGTCAATCCCCATATTCACAAGTTTAAGCTTGGGGGTGATGAACCCGTAGAACTGCAAAGACAAATATTGTCAGTGAATAACAAACCATATGAAGACCTAATCTCTTGTTCAGTCCCTTAAAGCCAAAAAGTACACCTGATTTTACATATTAAGTTCCTGTTGCTATGACATATCATTATCATACAGAAGTATATAACAAATCATACAAGGTTAATGAAGACAGTCCAAATGACTAGCTGTCAGAATCAAATTGATTTCACGGCTATTAGGGCTGCAATTAGCTTGAGAATGCTTGGAGAACACTTCTTCCCTCCCCCAGCAAGCCCCAGGGCAGGGGAGGTTCAGTAATCACAGCTGCAAAGGGTTAACATTTAGAGGATGTTGTAATCGCAAGTTTCCTACCTCTAGCATTTTAATCTCTAAGAATGTTTCCTCCTAAATTATTCTTCACCCTCATTCTCAGTCTCATATCTCAACCTTCTCTATCTCCCAACATAATTTATGGTTTTCCTTGACAATGTGAAATAGATGCAGGCTCGAATAGTATTGAATATGTTGACACACAAACAGATGCCATTTTAAAGTTCCAAACTATTACGTACCTCAAGTGGTTCAAGCTCCGGCATACCTAACTTTCTTCTTCGAGCATTGTATGCCATATTCAGAAAGTCAATATTACTCACTCCAGGAATTTCAACTGGAGATTGAAAGCTCAAGAAAATCCCAGCAACAGATCTTTCCTCAGGTTCCATTTCAATCAAGTTCTCACCTTTATACATGGCACTGCCTCCTGTAACTTCATAATCTGGATGACCAACAAGGACCTGCAACAGTTAAGTTCCTACTAAGAGATTTGCAAAAATAGGAAATTAATATAAGTCAATAACTACTTGTCTTCCACAAAACCAAAGGCCAAAGTCTGAAAAATTTTCTAAGTTGGACAGCATCAAAGCTATTTGGAAGAAGGAAGGACCAGTTCAATGAAGCAAAAGAATGGAAAGTGGACACTGCATAATGATCGAAAAATAGCACTTCATTCTCCTTTTGTCAATTGGAAAACAGCAGCATATTAGAAAGACCAATGCCTTCTAAATTGATAAAGCAACAACACATTGTATCACATCACTAAAAAATGTTAATGTTGTTTTTCTCATTGTTTAGAAAGTTTATTACACAAGGAAATTCAACTGGGTTTCTAAGTGGAACAATAGCAGTAAGTACTGGCTCAACAACACTAGTCAAACCTTTAAGGAGAACAAGCACTAACCTTTGCAAAAGTGCTCTTCCCTGAACCATTCTTCCCCATTACAGCATGAACCTAGCCAAAACAGGAACTTTACAGCATTAGAGCAACAATTCACAATTCAAAAATTACTGAACCATAGATTGAGAAGTTTCCAGTAGTATCGCAAGCAATCCTGAAATACCAAAAAATCACATCCACCAATAAAGAAAAATAGCACCTCCTGTCTACTCGATATTAAGACTGTTTGTTCCAGAGGTATACAATTGGAAAGAAAAATATAACGATTTAAGCTGCTAATCACTGAGATTAATTGATTTCTTAGCTAAATTACCACAGAAATTGCTTAAATCGACACATATCGGCATACACACACAAAAACACTTGTAAATGCACGAAATTATACTCACCGGGATCGAATAAGAAGAAATAAATGAGATTTGATACCTCTCCTTCGTAGACAGTAAGGCTTACGCCTTTAAGAATTGGCTCTTTCGATTCGGCGATCACGGCGGAGAGGCCTTTGACCTCCAGCAGAAGCTTCGGAGACTCTCTGTCACGGTCAGAGCCGGAATTCGATACAGGTTCGACGGCTAGAGTAGCTTTCAACCTCAGAGACGGACAAATTGGGGTAAAACGGCGACGTTGGGGGCCGATGGTAGAGACGGTCAAAAAATGTGAACTCGATGATGAGGTTTTGAACGAGGTAAGAGAAGAAGACGACGGTGGAGCTGAAGAACAACAGTAAGAATGGAGGAGAGCCATTGGAGCTCGAATCGGAATCAATGGCGACAAGTGAAGAAGAAGAAGTGGGTTGGAGATGAATATACTCTGCTCGTTATAATATTACCAAACCCAGCCCACATGAGGCGCGTGAGGTTAAATTGGGCTTGGGGCTAAATAGGTTTGGACCTGGGTGTGGACCTGAATTGTTCCAATGGCCCAATGAAAGGTCGCAGGAGCAATGGAATCAAACGGCATTTATAACACTTTCTGTGGTGATTTGCTCGATCGGGTTGTTACTTGTGAGAGAGAGTGGGAGCAAAATGAAGTTTTGGCCCATGCAGGTCTCGAACCTGCGACCTTCGCGTTATTAGCACGACGCTCTAACCAGCTGAGCTAATAGGCCATTTGCTCTTGTAGTTACGAATTTAATTATTATAGATATTTACCCATTGAAATCCATGCTTCACACCCCAATGAAAAGATCTCTGAATTCAAATGATGAATGTGGTTGTGATGGATCTCAATTCTCTCCGGATACTTTTTGAACTAAACAATAATACTACTACATACCCCATCTTTTTGCATTACATTTGCGTACATGTCAATATGAACCATCAGATTAGTCGGTTCGATGAATTCAATAAATATTTAAAAGTTGAAATCATATTACATCAGGTGGTGGTGTAGAAAAGATGCACGCACATATCATTATTATAAATTAAAACATAGTTTTCCCGTTAAAAATACCTATCAAAATAATCAATATTTCAAGTTGTGTTGCAAATCTTATCTTTGTTTTTTGATTTTTTCCAATTATTGTCTTCTTTTTTTTTAGTAAAAAAATGCGACAATAATGTTATATCCACCAAAAATTTTATCAAAATTTTTCTATCTCAAATTAACGTCAATCATAATATCAGTAGGCCCTACAAAACTTTCACTGACTATCCAATGACTTTTAATCTGTCACACCATTTAAAATCTACAATTTAATAAATGATTTAGTGGACGTAATATTTTTACAAAATACGATATCGAAAAATAATTTTTTGATGCCGTAATTAAATTCTTATATTCAACACCACCCAACACCCAAATTGCACGATCGTCTAAAAATAGCTCACATATATAGGAAAAGTAGATCCTACTCATTCCAACAACTACCCTTCATGTAAAATACTAAAATAATAATCGTCCAATGGAAAAAAAGTGGAGTCGCGCCCCGTCCAATTATCTTTAATTTAAAATAAAGCAGGCAGCAAGAAACCCATTTGAGAGCCTTAAATAAATTTATTTAATGACTATTAATATTCTTCTCAAAATTATTTATAATACACCGTGCCTTCAAATACAAATTATTCTAAATTTATTTAATATTGATCGATTATACCAAGTGTGAATGGTGATACTAATTGGGGGAAATATGTACCCCACAGACAAGGATCAAAATATCGTTTCAAAACGATCTAAACATCCGAAACGTTTTTGTTTTAAAGGAGACCGAAATGAATTGGTAATGGAATTAAAATTCTAATATTTCGCGATGTTGAAATGTTTTGTTATATTTCAACACATTTGTACAATTATTTCAATATATTTCAAAGTATTTAAAGATATTTTAGTATATTTCGACCAAAGTTATGAAAAAATAATTCTTAAATTTTTTATTTTTTTCATTTTGTTTTCGAAATGGACTGAAACATTTCCGAAACACGTCAAAATATTAGGTGATCGAAATAATAGACCGAGGGCTAGTTTGTTTCAAGGATTATTTATGGGTGATACTAACAATTATATCCATTCCATTCCAACCCCATGAGATACTATGCCTAGTCTTAAATTTTTATCCCTTCCTTCCCTTTGTTTGTTTCCTACAAAAATTATTTTGTGATACCTACATCAAAAGGTGTGTCAAATGAACTATTCAATGTAATGACAATTATAACTTTATAGTCCAAAGCAATCCATGTCATTGTTTGTTACTACAACCACTTGTGCATGATACTTACCCAAAAACTTTTTTTTTTTTTTTTTTTTTCCACGTTGGTTGCATGCACTGTTCAAGGCAAGTGTCTCCCAGGTATAACACACACACACACACACACACACACACAACAGGCACCACACAACACATAATGCACATAGACGAAAATATTATACACGCACAAAAATTCCATTATACACGCACAAAAATTCCAACAACAATGGAATACCACCAAAATTCCATCAATGATGGAGTTACAACAACAATTCCAGTGCAAGTAGTTAAGTGCCAGGGAAAAAAATGGAATTCCAACAACAATTCCAACAAAATGGAGCTAAGAACCAGCAAAAAAAATGGAATTCCAGCAATAATGGAGTTCCAGCAACAAATAAAACAAAATTCTAGCAAAATGGAGCTAAGAGTTAGCTAAAAAAAAATGGAATTCCAACAAGTTTCCCCTAACAATTCTATCTACAAATAGAATTCCAGAAGTAAAATTCCAGCACTATAGTTAAAGATTTCCTGCCTTAACAATCTAGACATAATTTATGCCACACTACACACAACACTGTCATTCCCTTTAAATCAAAACAAAATGAATGCACAACATATCAACATATACACTGCATCAAAAGATTTCAACTGTCACTAAATATAAGATACCAGTACAAGGAGTTAAGAGCCACAAAATAGCATTAACAACTGTCTCCACAAACAATTTTACAAACATCCACCGTAAACTTTGTTACATACATAATATAAACAGGTCAATGGAATTCTCAAAAGATGAAACTCCCCAAGACTCTTGAACAGCAACTACTACCACACGCAGTCATACCCAAAATCCAAGATCGCATGTGGAAAGCATAGTGTACATGCAATCCTACTCTGACAGGGACTAAGCTTAATCATAAATATCGATAATCTCTATGTCTTCTGTTGGATCACCACCCGAACAAGAGTCCACACTTTCAATCAGCTCTTTCGAGGACACGTTGTCGAAAACCTCAATCATTTTCTCGAACAAAGGAAATTGATCAATGCAATGTGTTCTTGCAAACTTGTTTGCCTACAAGTTAATGACAGTTAAACACATCATGAATTCAATCGAATGTGAAAATTGAATTAAACAAAGAGGCATAAGATGATATTCATCACTATAGTTTTGAATTAAACACTTACCAGTAGGTAGTCATGCGCTCCAGCAAGCAGCCCTTCGACGATGCACAAGTTTACCGAGTCCCAAGCAAACATCCTCGTCTTCAACATAGCCTTGATAGTGAAGTATTTTTTCTTCCAGAAAAAAATAATCTTGACAAGGTCAATTTGATCAATGCAAATTACAGGCAGTCTCCTTTTCACCCGCATTACCAAATCCTTGAAGTGTTGGGCTGTCATGTTGCCTCGTTGTTTGTTTCAAAGCAACAACACCATCAACACTTCACTTTTCGCAGCACTAATTCGAGGAACCGACATTTTCTACATAATATTGTGCAAATCAAATGCACACCACACCACCAATTTATACAAATTGATTGTAGCATGCTATATCACTTTCACCTATCAATCTATTAAGATGCTCTATTTGCAGTCGGGTTCGCGTGACTGAGCTTGAAATTTTATTGTTGTTTTGAATGTCATGAAATTTCAACAAATTTTCAATCACAGCAATCAGACATGAGCATATCATAATCATTTCAGAGATGACACTATCCAAAATAACCACCAATGACACATTGAGATCATTGTCTTCATCCATAACTACTGCCACTAACACAAATTACAGTAAACATCCACAGTCAACAAGCAGCGCTTTAAATTACTAAAAAAAAACATATTAAAGTAACAAGCATGCATTAGATATCATCACAAGAAAGAATACATTTTTTTTGTTCAATATAAAAAAATCATAAAAATTAATGACTGACAATAAAATTGCTACAGTGGCTACAGAGATCTCGGCGTTCATCGAACAATGAAAAGGCCAAGTCAAGCCAAACCTAAGAGTTGCATTAAAAAAAAAAAAAGATTGGTCATATGATACATTGTTTTGTTTGTTTGAAAGAGAATGCTCAGCAACATATTCCATATGTTTTCCAAAAGTTAAGATTCCCATGCCCAACATATGCAACCAAATTCCGATCCCAACCACCACGCCAAAAAAAAAAAACAAAAATAAGTTTCTATCAAAACCCAACCTTCCCTAAATTAAGATTTTCAAAGCGTTGACTTGTTCATGTTCATTGAACCATTTCTTTAATGGACAGAATTCAACCCCCACTTTAAAACAAACTACATCATATTTAGTTTCCAAAGCTTCAAGAACTCAAAAAGTACCGAACCAAAGGTAGTACAATGAATAAATAAAGTCTTCACCAGAAAAATCTCTTCTTTCAAACAATGTTGTCACAGCTTGGATGACTCAAGGAAATATAAGGGTTATAATAAACTTACCGAAGACGGAATTTAAGAAAGATAGATTATGACAATGCAATGAATATGGTCCAAGAAACCAGTGAGCAAGAGTGGCCAGGGAGGCGACTGAACGTTGAGGGAGGCGACTGACCGCTGAGTGAATGAGTGGCTAGGGTTTGGTAGAAAGTTGGCTTTTATATGGGGGCCCAATACATGAGGGCATTTGTGTCATTTCATTAGTTTATACTATCCTTTTATTTGTACCGGACATATAATACCATCGGGTAAGTGGTATTCATTAATACCATGTACAAGACATTATGTCTACTGTTTATACCGGATCGGTATTACGATCCAAAAAATAGTACTACCTATAAATTACAAAACAAACAGGGTATTAAGTAGGACTCACGTACTATTTCCGTAATACTACCTTCTTATACTACCCTTATCCTTAAAATAAACTAGTATCGAAATAATATTTTAATCTTTGTCCATAGGTCCGAGGGTACACAGGTCATAAATTAATTGTGAACTGAAAAGGTGGGAAAATGCTGCCGCATTGTATTTTAAATTGGATCCCAAGTCTATACCACGCTGTCAAGTCTGTAGTGAGGTCACAGTTTTTTCCCTCTCTCTGGTTTTCTTCTCTTCTTTAAAATCAATCGATTTCTGACTTTCTCACTTCGGTCCGCTGCTAGTTGGGTTGAATTTCAGTTCTTTGGCATCTGGATCTGTCGACTCTTCTCTGATTACAAAGGTCAGTCCACTGGGCCAATTGATCTGCTTTTTTAATTGCTCCTTAGGAATTATTAGCTCATTTTCCCATAATTTTGGTCTGAAATTAGGGTAAATGTTCTATTCTAAGGTTTTTAAACAGAAATGTAATGTTGTTTGCTGTTTTATTCGTGAGATTTTATCCGAATTTGATATTATGCAATGTAATGATTTTGAATTTCGATCTGCAAAATGAACTTAGCTTTTGGACATTAAATCTGGCTCCAAGCTCAGCAAACCATGAACTAGGTATGAATTACCCACTCAAACATCCCCTATGTGTAGAGGTAAAATGCCCAGGATCGAAACTGTTAAGGTTCGGATATAAGCGCAGCCATTTTGTGCAAATAATGTTGCAGGCAACCGGGGACAAAGCTGTTTAATAGCCTTTCTAACATATTTGATAATCTTAAGCCTAGCCCAATTTTCACTATGACAGGTGCACCTGCACTTTGTGTGATGTACTGCAGTATCATATGGACTGCTCATGCTTACAATCAGTCAAGTCTTTATATTCTGGATTAGAAAGTAGTTAATGAATGTTTATTCCTCCCAAGCTCTAAAATTTAGTAATAATAATCAAGTGTGTACAACCGATGGCCTAGATGTATTATTTTGCTATCTAGGTTTCTCGATTTTTTTTGTTCTATTGGTGTTTGAAGTGCTGCTTGCAAACAGTTATATGAGGAGATGTGTGGGTTGATGTTCAAGGTGTTTAATTGGGAAAGTATTACAGTTTGCTACATTCAAAGTTATATTGTTTTCCTGAATTCAGACCTCTTGAGTCTTGATTAGGGGTTTGCAAGTTGCAATACTCTAGTGTGTCGTCAATCATGATGTACAAAACCATGTAAGGATGCTCATTGAAGTTGGGCCGAAGTATTATTATAATCAAATAGATACTCTTATCAGTTCCTGAGTTGAAGTTTGTGCAGGAACAAAGTAATGGGGCCATCTGTTTGTTGTTTTATTTACTAATACTATTATGCTATGTGCTTGTGCATTACAACTTAATACTCTGAAATTCTTTTTTTTTTTTCCCTCTGCATAAATTGCACTTGCAACCACTATCTCTGCAAATCTACTGGTAGTTATGAGTAAGGGTATTTTGAGGAGCATCCTGAGTCACAGGCTCACAGCCGCATTGGATCATTTTATTTGATTTTTTTCAGGACCAAATTTATCTATTTCGCGAAAGCCTTAATTCTTAGGTTTTATTTGACTTTTTCATTGTCGTTTATCTCTGTGACACTTAGATATTTTGATTCATATGGTATCACACAAGCGCCAAATAATTCTTGGTTGAATAATTGTTGCATATTTGCTGATACTTTTATTCCCATTGAACCAACTCTTGAGCTATGATATTTATGTATTTCAGCACTCTTTGAGGCCAAATATGGAGGGTACAGAGTCAAATTCAGATTCATGCTGGTGGGACAGTCACATTGGTGGTGAAAATTCTAAATGGCTCGCTGAAAATCTTGAGTGTGAGTAGCAAAGATTAATTCTTATGATGTGTTTTCTTCTTTCAGTTAACAGTATATAGCTAGTTCACTGCCAACTTAATTCTCACTACACGAAATTATTGTGTTTTTAAATGCTAAACATCCAGCTTTAAGTTGCCTATTAATGGTCTCTCAACTTGTAAAGCCATGTGAGAAGTAATTAAGGGAAAATTTTGTGGATACAGGGGTGGATCAGAGGATCAAGCAAATGTTAAACTTGATTGAAGAAGATGGAAGTTCTTCTGCAATGAAGGCTGAGATTTATTACCGAAAGAAGCCAGAGTTAATTGCACATGTTGAGGAGTTTTATCGCATGCATCAAGTGCTGGCTGAGCGCTATGACCATTTGACTGGAGAATTATGCAAGAATATTTCATCCCTGCTACGAATGCGGCATTCTGCTGTTTCTGATTCCTCCTATCATCAAGCTTCTCCATTGTCGACTCCTGATCAGAAGTTGGGCCTGCACAAATCTAACCAAGCCATTGGTTTTGATTTATATCTAAGCTCTAGTGGTGGTAGATCTGATAGTTCCTTCAAGGAAGCTTATGAATCTTCATCATCATTCTCACCAGACTCAGAATCAGAACCTTTTTTCTCTTCTATCAGCAAAAGCTTAGCCCCACTTGTGAAAGGTGATAGCAAAGGGCTAAACAAAAAATTACTGGGGATTGATGCCATAACCATGGAAGAGAAGTTTCAGTTGACGAAGCAAAAGAATGGAGATGCTGCATTGATGGAAGGAGAAATTAGGGATTATCCTATGTTGCATGGAAGAATCACTGAATCTGAAGAAGAACAAAGGGTTGCAGACAAAAAGGTTCAGTCTTCAGAAGAAGAGATTACCAGGTTCAAGGGTGAGCTTGAGAAGAATCAATCAGTTATTGTGCTTATGGGTGATTTGCAGGCTGAAATCCAAATGAAAGAGGCTGATCTTGAAATGGAGAAAAGAAAGGTGTTGGAGCTACAAAAACAGGTATCTGAGTTGGAAAATAAGGTTTTGGACTCTAATGGAATAATTAGGACATTGCAGAATGAGTTGGATATAAATAAAGAAAAACTTAAGGATGCCGAGGAGGAGATTGCGTGCTTGAATCATGATGTCTCAAATAAAAATTCTGAGTGTGGTCATCAACTACAGGGTCAGCTTGAATCAACTCAGAAAGATATAGCCTTGTTGGAGGCCAAGCTCGACTCAGAGAAAAGTAATGTTTTGCATCTGCAGGAGAGGATCCTTAGGTATGTGGCTAATTTGTCAGACCGTGATAACGAGATTAGTGAATTGAAAGCGACATTCTTTGATGCCCAAAAAAATTTCTTTTTGGAGAAAGCACAACTCCAATCTGATATTGCTAGTTTATCAGAACAGCAAGTCCTCCTAGAGGCAGGAATTGAAGAATGGAAATTGCTAAACAAATCATTAGAAAATGAGACCTGGCGGTGTGAAACTGAGAAGATGGAGATGAAAGGTTTGCATGAAGTGCAGGAGATCAGTTGGCAATATGATAATGAAAGGTTGGTAGTGGAACTAAGTGAGAAAAATGAACTAATTGAAGCTTTGAATAAAAACATTGACTTGCTTAAATTGAAGTATGATATGCTAATGACAGAGAAAGATGTGGTCAGTGCTAAGGCAAACACACTCGGTGTGGAGGTGTGTTCTCGAGAATATCAAATTCAACAAATGGATGATCATCTGTGTCAGCTACACTCAGAACATGTGGAGCTAATTGCTGCATCTGAAAGTTTGCGAAAGCTCACAGATGAACTGAGATTGAGAGTGGACGAGCTAGAAAAAGAGGTGGATAGGCAGAGAGTTGTAATCTCTGACAGAGAGGAAGGGAAAAGGGAGGCAATACGGCAGCTATGTTTCTCTCTGGATCATTACAGGAGTGGCTATCAAGAACTTTGTCAGGCATACAAGGGGCATAACCGGCATGCAGTTTTGGCTTTGTAAGTTACAATCAGTCATGGTATTAGTTTACAAGTTCCTATCATGTGCTTATCTTGTTTGTTGTTACCTTAGCTCTTTAGTTTCTGGGATCTTATGGTGTTGCATTTTTGCTTATGATTACATCTCTGATTGATCTACACATTGCTTTAAGCCCTGGATTGTTCACATATATCATGTGTGCTATGTTCAAAAGATACAAAATATTTAGCAGGAGCTGCAACCTGAATGGTTGGATTTATTACTTTGGCAGTTTGATCATTTAGTTATTTGATTTGGTTTTTCTTTTGCCTGACTTGTTTGCCAAGAGTTATGTGCTTGATTAGCAACTATAAGGAAGCAATTTGGGTTACTTGAAAACCCCTTTTTTCAGCGAGCTTGACATTGTCCAAGGCTGAGGACAAGCAGAAAATGAACCAAAACATGGAACACCATGAAAAGACATCGAAAATTGGGTTAAAATACACGAGGTGGTCGGGTCCCTAAACTTGGAATTCTATTTTTTTTGGTAAGGTGAATCCTATTTCTATTAATCCCTTAAACAAAAAAATTTCTCAAATTTGTTTCCTGACAGTCAACATTGCTATAATGTGTTGTGGCCCCTTCCTTTAATTTTATCAAACTTTTTAATAAAATTTGGTTGGTGTTGGCTGTTGGGGCATTTAATTGGAAAGGTTTCATGTGACATGCATATTAAAATTTGGTCTTATTTGGCACCAGGAGTTTGACATGTACCACCCCCTCTTAAACTCCCCAGGGTGGCTGTAAATCTTGCACTACAACTGCTTAACATGAACCACTCCTATGATTTCAGTTTTGAGGTTCCACAAACAATATTACGTGATAGGAGGTTAGGAGTCCATTTCCATGAATTGTAGGTCTGAGTTCATGTCTCTATTGAGTACGATTTAACTCAATTCAACTCTACAAAACTTGTTCCAATATTTTTGGAACCAACTACTTGAATCTTATTTCGTTATTGTGCTCTTTTAGTATCATTTTGGAGTTAATGTCTCTTTTAGTATTATTCCTAATGATTTGCTAAAAAAGGGGTAGCCCAAGGGGGTTTAAGGAGGTCATATATAGGAAAGAATTGTATATTCTGACAAGGATCAAATGGTTCTCTACAAGTTGCATTTATAACTTATGGCTTGACTAATTTTTCAATGTTGAAACTGAATTTGCCTTTGACTTGTTGAAGTCATTTTAAATTTCAGAAATGGGGTTTGACATTGTCTTCATAGCAGTGATTATCACTCATCAGCGTATGGTTCAGAGGATCTCTGAATCAGGGAGCCTAGACGAAGTCTTTGTTATTTTTTGAGAAAATGAATATGACTTTCAAAGGTCAAATTCTATCATTCTTGTTATTTTCAAAGGTCAATAAGAATGATAGAAAATGACAAAGGGTATTGAAATCATATATGCAATATATTAGACAGACAACTTGCATCCATGAATTAGAAAGTAGTCTTTTTTTTTTTTTTTTTTGGGTTTTTGAAATGGGAATTACATAATAGTCTGTGTAATATTTCAATAGGCTTACAGTTCACAATGTTTTAGGGGTCTTCATGTTAAGTTTGAATAATAGGATTTAGCGCAAGTCTAAATTTAATCTCGTGTCCCTTTTGGAAACAAAAAAACAAATAATCTTGCGTCTATATAATACTGTTCTTTATTCATCATATTCAACTTTATTTTAAATTTCTTTTTCAAACAAAAAATTTAATTTTATATAACATTTTCAAATCACGACCCAAATCTACAATAAATATATCCCAAATTTCATGGGATGAATTAATTACTATGAATGAGAGAAGGTATAAAAATTTGACGGATGGATATGAAAATAGATTTGACTATTTTCTCTCTAAGTGAATAGTACTTTTCAATTTCTTATACATTTAGCATTTTATTTTTTCTGTATTCCATGTAATATTATCGATCAAGCCCTAATTTAAACATAAGATTGGTATTAGAAGTATAAATTTGATACCTAGAATAATAAACTTGCCCAATTATTATTCTGACTACAATAGATTGGATTGAAGGGACTATTCTAAATCAAATTCAATGTTGTACATAAACTATACATGCCCAAAGAATTACCCAATTGAATAAATGTTCATTGTGGGTGCAAGGTTCAATGGAGTTGGTAGAAACTTAACATGTCACATCATGAACAGAGAGAGAGCGCGAGCACTGGTTATTATTATATAAATTGCACCATCAGACAGTTTGACCAGGTACTTGGTATGAAAGTCAAACTACGTCAGGACGACGAAAGCATCTGTCATCACATGATCCAGGTGGCACACTATGAATGGTTAATGTTTCCCCTACAAAGGAGTCGCCACGTCATGAGCTTCACAACAATTATGGACCGTCGGATCAAATTTACTCGCCACTTCTTGGACGTTGATTGCTCAAGATCCCGCGGTAAGCCTCTGAAGTGGTCCCCCACTGGAGAAAAATTTGCTATATGGATCTCATGGTAAATTTCTCACCTCGTGCTGCCTTGATGACAGGTTGCCACCTGGCACTTTACAGCTGGAAACATTAATAAGTCTTCGTTCAACGCACGTAGTTCCCCGTCGTGTTTTTACACCAATCTCTTCTCTCGGTTGACCTGAAATACTCGGCGAGGTCTTATTGTTTTGCCCGAGTAAGAAAACCTCTGTATCGGAAAACTACGAGGGAAGCCCACCTTGGGGCTTAGATGGAGAAAAATTACGTATGTTTCTGAAAGTCCACTCGAGTAATAGTTTAATCCCGATATTACATAATAGTTGGTAAGAATAACATGAGATCTCATGAATTAATCTTATTTATTATTATTAATCTCATGAAAATCATAATAGATTATAAAAGGAGAAAAAAGATTACGGTATTGTCGGTGGTATAGTATTAAAAATTATAACATCTAAAGATTAGGTTATAGGTTTTTTGAATTATAAGTTATAATTTTAAAAAGTACGATTGATTATGAAACTTTATAATTGATATTGAAAATTTATGAACGATCATGATTTTTTATGGAATAATTATAATTTTTTTGTTTTAAAATTATAATATTATAATAAAATTAGTAATTGACCGTACAATATGTTAAAAAAAATTTAGTATCATAGACTTCCTCTAAATGGAGTATTGCAAACCAAATCATTGGCCTGAGAAGATGAGTTTGGAAAAAATAGTTTAAAAGATTCTCAAATTTTATGTTTGAATTGAAAATTCAATCTTGAGTTTTTCAATCCAACTTGTAATTGATTCAAAAATTAAATCTATGATGATGAGTTTGTCAAACCTAGAGAAGGGATGAGTATGGAAAGATGGGTTAAGGAGTTAAAGATGAAAAAAATAATTGTATCTCTTAATATGAGTATGAATTGGATTGATCAAAGGTAAAATAGTCATTTAAAGAGTAAATAGTTGTTAATAATTATGATATATCTGTAAATTTTATATGTATATGTGTTGTATACAAAATATAGATATAAACCAGATTGAATGTTGAATATCATCTTTGTAAAAAAGGGTTTCAGTTTAGAAGGATTTGAAGAAGTCAATCCAAACCCCTTCCCAAAATTCATCCAAAAAAAGTCCTAGGTGGGAACAAAATAGTTGACTTAAAACATTTAGTAATTTGAGTTTTTTTCATTACATTTTTCCTCTAAAAATATCATATCATTTATTTTAATAACATGTTTAATAATTAATTAATTTATAATTTAACATAATTTTTATTTTAAATATTATTCATACACGATAGAATATACATGTTGGAAAAATTTTGTCAAATTTTGTATTTTCAAAATATTTTTAAGAAAATAATAAATAAAAATAAATTTTAAATTATGTAAGAATTTTTTTTGATATTTTTTAAAAAATAATAAATAAAAATAAATTTTAAATAATATAATATAATATAATAAATAAATAAATTATTATTTAATATAATAAAATTAATTTTTTAAAATTCGAATTCTATGTTCCATTCTACTATGACCAGTTGTTATATAGAGGGGCAAACAAACAACGGTCGCGCAAGTATGTATGTAAAATGACACTTCAACGATCGCTTTACTTTAAATAATCTCCGCGCCGACTTCACTCTAGTTCCTCCCTCCTCCGCGTGTGTGTGTGAGAGAGAGATTTGAGTTCTCACAGTCAGGCGTGGTATGAGTGTTGAAAATCTTCTCAAACACGTTAAAGAAGAAGACTCTTTTACACGCACAGAGAGGTGTGAGAGAAGAAGACGACTGGATCACAGACTTTGCGTTAACGAAGAGATTTTCTCCAATTTTTTCCTCTCTGCCTCTCTTTCTTTCTAGGTTCGTCTTTCTCATCTTTTAGACTTCAGTTATTTCCTCGCACAAATGTCACACACACACACACACACATACTATATGTGTATATATATAATCCACTTTATTTTGGATCCTCCCAATTGCAAATTGAAAAGGTATGTCTTGTTTGATCTTTCGTTAGCTAAAGTGCGAGCTGTGATTTGATCTTATCTAAGTAATTTTTTTTATTTTTTTTAGTTGTTAGAAGTTGTTTGTTTATAGTGTCTTACATATATACCGTTGTTTCACTTTCTTTCTGTTCTAAAATGCAATTGATTTCTGACTTTATTAATTGTTTAGAGTTTTTGGATGATTTCGTAAGTGTTTCTTTGTTGTAAATGAAGACATACTTGGGGGAGATGTATAATGTTGTAGTTCTGATCCATTTACTGAAATTTGCTAGGTCTTAAATTAATATTCTCCCAGTAAAAATTCAACGTGTTTCAATACAAATTTCAACCGATGCTTGTTTTGTGTGGCCAGTTGTGATTTATTTTGAATTGAAGCATACTTTGTAGATAATTTTGATTCCAAAACCTTTAATTTCTATTTTCTTGATCTAATGTAGCTAAAATTTATATGTTCTTTTACCCTAGTTGGTTGGTTTTTGTTTCGGGGTCATGCCAACTATTACTGACAATATACTTAAGCTGCCTCTCTGTCTCTCTCTTTCTTGTAGAATTCGTTCTAGAACTTGGCAATTTGTTTAACAATTGCTTAGCTATACATAAGTTAAATTGCCTACAAATGGAACACATCAATGTGTAGAAAAAATTGGTAACAAAGGAAGTTTTTTAGCACACTTACAAGTTGATAAGTGTGGGCATTTTGGAGAACTGCCCTATTTTTTTTTTTCTGGGGGGATTACAAAATGGCATAAACACTCGTACACGAGGAAAATGAGCCAGCATAAAGTGTCGAACAAAATCCTGGGGAGTTACAAATCTGAATCTGCAAGTTAAATTTATGCTGAAAATGGAAAAAGGTTGTTTTCAGACTATTATTTATCATATATATATGCTTGAAAATAAGCCCGAGTATATGTCGGAACGGTGAGAAATCCAATCAAAGGGATGAATACGTATTTGGCATGAATGGGGTTCAAGAGAATATACCCCATTTAATCAAGGGTAGATCTTGCAACTTTATTGTGCTCAAAGTTTGGCTGTATTCTGTCTTACTTTCATATGCTTCACTTCTTGCTTTGTTGCCAAGTTTAATTTTTTGTATGATTTGAATTTTCTTTCAAAGTTACCCTGACTCTTGATTTTGGGGTGCTTCGGAGTAAATATGTGTTCAGTTACTTTTACCCTGCAATAATGAGGCCTCTTTTTGCATATCGCAATTTGGATGACTGCTATGTGCCACCAGGTTTGGTTTTATTATTTGTTTCTTTTCTATTAGGGCCATCTTGTGTCACTTGGAAGGAGAGGGATTTGATTCTCCCTCATTTTCTCCTTTGTAAACTCTCAAAAACATGGATCCAATTGGAACCATCCAATTACTTGACAACATAGAATGATGGAACATAACCAGTTACATTTATCATTATTTCCCAATTTATGATGCATCGTTTCCCTCAGGCTTCATCAATACAGGAGCAGATTGTGGATTGATGAGTCTTCAGGGAAGCCATAGCTACTTTTCCCTTTCTTTCCCTCCCCTTTTGTGACTATCTTTGTGATTGAGAAGGGTTGCTTCTTCCCATCATTCAGCAATGGTGTTATGTGGTTCAACTTATAGATTGATCACTAAAACTAAAAGTTTCAAGAGAAAATTCCATTTTACCCTATTTTATCACCTCCCTATAGTTCAACTATAACTACGCAACTCTCTTATGTTTTATGATTAGAGTGAACAATTAACTCTGTTATTGACATTGACAGAAAGACCATCCTACCCTTGTTTTCCTCTAAACCGAATTCTTCTCCCCTTTCTCTCTCATCTTTTCTGTACACATACAAACACACCTCTCTCTCTCTCTCTGTAGAAACTCTTTGCTATTGACAATCCTTGGCTATTTTGCCTGCTTCTCATGGAACTAATAACAATTCGGAGGATGAAAATGGACAGATTCTTTGATAACCACTTTAAAAAAGTGTATTTTCTCCAAATCCTCTTTGTGTTGGGTTTGCCATTACAGATCCTGCTCGCCTCATTTTTCAATTTCTTCATGTCTATGAGCTCTTTCATTGCCAATTCGAGAACTGTGGCGTGGATGGATGTTTCAAGAGATCTGTGTGCATAGTATGGGTGGATTTTATTTGTGGATAGCTGGTGGTAGTGAGGTGGGTGGGTGGATTTTGTGGAATGGACAGTATGGATCTGATTTTTTCAAAAAAAAATGAGGGAAAAAAAAAATACAAGAGGAAGATGAAGGGATGAGTGGTATTTTTGTCTGAGGGTCACCAAGGTAATGTCATAACAAAGAACTAAACTTAAATTCTCTGCAACCTGTTTTTCTTATGATCCAGCATTTGCCTTGGTCACTATCATCTCTTGATTGTTCAATAAAAATTTAGTTTGATTTTGTCCTTCATTCTTCTTGTTTCTAATTTGTGCCTATATATTTGTAAATCTGAGTGATTGCAGATGGTGAGAGCCTTCTAGTTCTTCAACTTGGGTGTTATTCATGGTTGCTATCAGATACTTGGTGGTTTGAGCCCAAGCACAGTTTAATTGCATCCAGATAATAGGGTGGAAAATATGAGTCAGACGAATACCAAAGTTCGATTTGTTAGATGTCCTAGATGCCGGGAGGTTCTTCCTGAGATGGCAGATTTTCCGGTGTATATATGTGGAGGATGTGACATAATTCTTGAAGGTATTGTATTCATACATTCTAGTACCAATTTCGATAACCAACTAATGGAAAGGATGGTCTGTCACCGTACTAACACAAGGGGGTGGCAGGTGGGAGGGGACCAGTTATTGGGCTGAGGAATAAGAGGGCGGAGGTGTTTTCATCCTAGGATACTTCTGATACAAAGAAATGATGATCTTACCTCTCAACTATCATGATCTCATAACACAACTCAACAAAACTTGATATTAACTGCTAGGCATCATGACTTCATGCGAATCATGATTTGATAGCGTTTGAAGAAGAGAAGTTTAGACACAGGCACTTTCTTGACCTGGATGTAGTCTTTGATGTAGAGATCATCCCCATCGCATGGGACCCCATTATACTGCTATTTTAGGTTTGAGCATTGTTAAGATGTGGAGAATTAGAACACTACAGTGCCTTGTTGCTTTCAATTTGTCTGTCTTTCACTAATACTAGCTATTTGTTTTCTACCATTAAAGGCTTTCTTATACGATTTTCTCTGAATACAGCTAAAAATCGGAAAAATGAGACCAAAGACACAAGATCACACTTACATAAAACAGACCATCCCCAGGAGAATGGAATGGATAATATTTCTGAAGACAGAGAAGCTAGCAAATCAAATAAACAAGCCGTTCTTCCTTCCACAGCAGAATCTTCACCAGATAAAACCAGGGAGAGGACTCAATATGAATTTGGACATTGCAATATGGAGCATCCTGGAGGTAGGAACATTTCCAATGAACTTCTGAGCTCATCTGAGCTTCTTTGTCGTGGGAATGAAGAGTTGTCGCCAGAAGCCAGAGTACCGATGGAAATGGATGAAGATAAATGTCATTTGGACCAATATAATGGAATGAATCAAAACAACTCTGGGGATTGCAATGGAAAGCGGCCTGAAGGAAGAACCTTTCCCAATTTACTTCATAGGTCAAGTGAGCTTACTTGTCATGAGAATGGAGAGTCATCACCAGAAGCTATAGCACTTGAGGATTTGGATGAAGATGAATGTCCTTCACCCCGATGCAGTGGAAGGCATCGAAATGAAATTGCAGATTCCATTGAGGAGAGGACTGCGGGTTTAAAATTTTCTACTGAAGTCTCTTCAACTGAGGTTTGTCATCGGTGTCCGTTGTCAACAGGAGCTGGAGTACATATAGCAGTGGATGAAAGCAAATTCTCTTTGGAATTTAAAAATGGATGGGATCAAAGTAAATATGAAGGTTACAATGGGAAGGAGCCAGGAAATATTAATGATTCCAAGGAAGTTTCTTCATCTGCTGAGCTTACTTGTCATGAGGTAGAAGAGCAATCTATGGTGGCTAATATGGTTGTAGGTGGAGCAGGGGTGGAAGGTTCTTCATCTATAGAGCTTACTTGTCACCAGGTAGTAGAGCAATCATCAATGGCTAACATGGCTGTAGGTGGAGCAGGTGTGGAAGTGAAAGTTTCTTCATCTACTGCGCTTAGTCATGAGATAGAAGAGCAATCTACAGTGGTTGACATGAGCTCCATGGCTGTAGGATCTACTGACCTTACTCATCATGAGGTAGAAGAGCAATCTACACTGACTGACATGAGTCCCATGGCTGTAGGATCTATTGACCTTACTCATCATGAGGTAGAAGAGCAATCTACATTGGCTGAAATGGCTGTAGGTGGAACAGGTGTAGAAGTGGCTGAAGATTGTAGGAGTGGTTCTCTCTATAGAAGCTCAAGTCCCAAAAAATTTCAAGCTACAAATCCAAATGATTCAGTCACTTCTGCTCAGAGGCCATTGGATGAGAGCATTTCAGCAGATGATCTTACTTCTCCTCCCAAAGAACTGCTGGAGCAATCTCAGAATTGCATTCTCCAGGGTTTTGACCGAGTAAGCTCTTTAGATACATCGGAAAATCTACCCTCTGTCAAGCCCAGCCCTGGGGTCGGTGTTAAATTTAGAGATATGTATAGATCTCCAACAAGTAGAATGTACTATGCTTATGATGGTAGTCTGTCTTCTTTAGACGGCACTGACGATCAAATCCCTGACTGGCATCTTCACGTACGGAAAAGGAATTCGAAGGAGGCACGCGTCGCCAGGACTAATGGATTGCCCCGCAGAAATGAATTTAGGGTGAAAGATGTGGTCGGTAGTGAGTTAGAAATGCATCATCGAGCAATGAATCCCTCATCAGTTGCACATGGGAAGAAGCATCACGCCATGGAAGGCACCAAGCAGCATGGAGATGAATTGCCGCCACCCACCAGGCATAGCCTTCCATTCAGAGGTAAGATGAGATTGGAGACAGATGAGCATCTATCTAGAATGCCTTTCTATTCAAAGGGTTCCCCATCTGGCCACGGAAATGGCATGCTTTCCCGTCATGGGCACAAGGAATTCCAAAACCAGTCTAGCTATCATTCACCTGACGAGCCTGGGTACCCTGAACAAGACAGAATGGAACTGTTGAGAATGGTTTGTGAACTCAACGATCAGCTCAACCGAACACATATTTCCAAAATGAAGGCAAATAGTAGGGTCCCTGCTGGAGTTCGTAGGATGGAGAAGCAGATTGCCCCATGCTACGATCACTTAGCATCGGAGGACATGTATCATGAGTTAAACTATCCTGGGTATCCTAGAAGATACATGCAAAGGAAAAACCAGCTCCAGTGTGGTAGAATCTCACGAATGGCTTTCTCAGGGGAGACCACACACTGCAGACACCAAATTGATTGCTCCTGTCTGCATTGCTGCCCCCAAACCTGGCATCACTCAGTACAGTCGCCTCCATGTGTCGTTTGCTGTAACAAAAGTCGTACTTCTCACCACACCCATGGCCGTTACAACCTCTATTCCTATAGCCCCTCAAGTCCCCAGCATTATGCAAGCTCTGAGTATTCCTCATGGAGGCGTGATGATATAATGTCTGACGATCAATGGCCAAGAGATCATGAAGTGAAAAAATTGCCACAGAGGGAGAAACATCACTCGATGAAGCGACATATCCAGCCTGTTGCAGGTGGAGCACCCGTCATTGCTTGTTACCGTTGCTTGAAACTGCTGCAGCTTCCGGCAGATTTTCTACTCTCTGGAAGGAAATGCCATCGGCTGAGGTGCAGTGCTTGTTCAGCAGTACTTACATTTTCACTTCAAAATAGTACTCAACGAGTTCCTTTCATTCCTGGTGCCATAGCTCCTCCACCAAGTGAGGTTGATGACTATAGTGATGCTATCAATAAGCGGAATGTGGCATCAACATCTCATGCCAATGTTTGTCCGCATGCTGAACCTGTATCTTATTCTGATGACTATGGACATTCTGTCTGTAAAAGTTGCTCTACTGAAGGATATCCTTTCTCCCTCGCTCCATTTCACATCCTCAAAAGGAATCCTACAGATAGAAAGATGTCATATGGTAGTTCCTTCGAGCTAATGAAAGAGAGAAGGAAGAAGGCTGCCTTGAAAGAGCTGAACAAATACAAAAATCCTATGGTTGAATCAGCCGGGCCTTCATCCCATATGTACAATCGGGAGAAATCATCCTTCGAAATTGAGAAACTGAAACCAACAACATGTTCTCCGCTTCATCAGCTTATGGGATATTCTTCCCCGAGTCAAGTGACAAGAAGATGAGCAGTTACCATGTCCACAAAAAAACTGAGGTCCAGAAGATGACGACTGCTTTTTCTCTCTCCAGGTACATGAACTCTAAAGAAGCAAATTCTTTTGAAAGTGTTAACAGCATTGAAACTTAAGGGTATATGAATTTAAGATCGCTGAATAATCTTTAGCTTAAAAAGTTGAGAACGAAGAGACCTGGTTGAAGCGGGAAATTTCAAGGATTTATGACTGATTGATCAGAAAATCGATGTGATCCACCCTGAAAATTCTAGTGTTTGAGCTTATTTTTGAAGAGGAGCAAGTTGTTATCATTTGTTCTTGAGATTGTGTACAGTAGATATATCATTGTAGATATAGCATTAACTATAGTAAATGAGAAGCCAAAGTTGATTTTGTATGTATAAAATAGATGTCCGCCGGAGAAGTGTCCTATAGTCCTATATGAGGTGATTTGTTCATTTGTATATTAACTAGGGTAATTCATATTTGAAAGTACGGTGAAAATTTAAGAGTGATATTGGTGGCGGTTTTGATTATTTTTTCTCATTGATAGTAAGGATAAAAGCCCATGTTCAGGGGGGTACATGTCTTTTTTTTTTTTTAAAATGATGTTGTATATTTAAAGATTCATTAAATATAAAAGGATCAAACGTTAATATATGTACTTTATGTAAACAATACTCAATAAAAAGAGATTAATTATAGCTTTTTGCAAAAAAATTGAGGATAATTACAACCATGTACTGTAGACCCTCACAATTTTTCATATTTTGAAAGGATTGTATAATAATGTTATCGTATGATAACGTTACTAATAATGTTATCGAAAATGTTTTTCTCTATATAAGTAAGTTAATAGTAATTAATTTCAAACTAAGTCGTATCAATTTAAAAAAATTATAGCAATTTCAAACAATTATGAATAGTATAAGATTGAGAGTTACTAAAAAAATAAGTTCAATCACTAGTCACAATTTTTTAACATACTCTCACCTTTTTTAGAGTAAAAAGTGTGTTCGATTATTTTTTGCACAAGATTTAGTTGGTTCAAACTTATTAGAGTGGTCAAATATTTTTGAATTTTGGTCATGAGTGTGGGTCTAATTCCAACTATCTAATAAAAAACTATTAAAATACAAAAGTAAAATTTTTGATTTTTTTTTCAAGGTGGCCATGTGGCCCCTTGGTCTCTATGTCCATCCGCCCTTGTCCATATTATTTGCCAATATTATTAGTCGTTAGATTAGTCTATTTGAAATCATCAGATAAATTTATTAAAACATGTTTTATTTTATATTATAAATTTGTTATACATACTGAATTGTACTTTTTTATGCAATAAGAGTATTTGTCGAAATACCTAGTTTTGCGATTAAATCCTAAGCTTCTGTGCTTTGAAGTGCACTTGAAGACAGCACTATACTTGATTACTTTGCAGATTGATGTTCGCTAGAGAAGATTTCTTGATCATTTAGTCTTCATAATTAACATATATATATATATATATATATATATATATACTAGTTATTGTCTGTGCCTGAAGGCACAGAGTAATAAAAAATAGTAAATAATAAATATATTTATATTCGTATTCAAAATCAAATCACAAATATAGATAAAAGATAAGAGAATTTAAGAATCGATTTGTAATTGGGGTGAGAGATGGTGGACGACAATGGTGGTGATAGAAGACGGTGATGGTTGTAGTAGATGACAATAACTGTGGTAATGGTGGCAATAATGATGGTGGTGGCAGCAGTGGTGGACGGCAGTGCTAGTGGCGTTGGTGGTGGGGGCGATGACGGTGGCGACGATGGCGGTGGTGGTGGTGGTTGTGGCGGTAACGATGACAGTGCTGCGGTGGCGATGGCGGTGATAGAGGTAGTGATAAGGCGGTTTCAAATAATATTTTTTTAAAAAATATTGATGAGAAATAATTTTTAAAAGTACTTTTAAAAAGTCACTTCAAACACACCCTTAAGGACTTATTTTTTCTATTAAATTTAGGGTGTTAATATTAGCCGTTAGATTAACTTTAAAATAAAATTTATAGCGATCTCAATCGTGAATAACAAAAGTCATTTTATTTATTTTTTGAGATTTAAATTATAAATTATTTTATTATATAAAAATATATATACACACATACACACAAGAATAATCATATCAATTTTAAAATTTTGAACATTATATTTTGAAAGTAGAATAATCATATAAATTATTCTATAATACAAGTATGTCTAGTCTCAAACCTAAGGCCCAAGGGCATGGCTTTTTTTTGTTTGAGGATGATTTTGTACAATGACATACTCTCATTGTTCTTTATTGTAACATAGGGAAAGTTTATGTATCCAAATTTTTTTTCATAAATTACAGAAATTTTTTATTTTTAATGATAAAGTTACATATTTGAAAAGTAAAATTATGAATAATTGAAGGAAGATTAAAGAAAGTTTATGATCGATTATAGAATTCTCTTCAACAGTTATAATTTTTTTTATTATAACTTGATCTTAAAATTATAATTAAACTTTTAAAAATTATAATTTTTATGATCGATCGCAATGTTAGGATCAATCATACTCTTTGTAAGTTATTACTTATACATAAAAAATTATAACTTGACTTTAAAAAATTATAATTTTAGATACACTATCAAAAGTTAAAACTGCTTATGAAAAATTTAAATCTTTGAAATGAGAAATTACAATTGTTCAAGAAAAGTTCATGATCGATAATAAACTTTACTTGATCTCTTAGAAGTTAGAACTTGACTTTTAAATATCGTAATTTGATATATAAAGGTTGTAACTTCTATGGTCAATTATGTTTTTTACAAGTTATAATTTACATCTTAAAAGATAATTTAAATTTCTTAATGTACATGTTCAGTTACTCTGACCAAAAATAAAATTTAAATAAATTATTGTGGTTAAAAAATTAAGATATTAAAATTTAAATAAATTGTTATAATTAAAAAAATAAAATATTAAATCGTAATATAAATATCCATTTGCTTTGCGCCGCCGTTTTTTTTTTTTGAGTGAATAGTTTAAGCAACTTAACCAAGACGATAACAAACACGGCTTTGCTCACGGATTACGTCACAAAAAAGAAATGAAAGGGACGTGGCGAGTAGGCTTTGAATCGCGTGCCACTTCTCTTTTGCTGAACCTAAGACTGGCATCTTCCTTTATCATGCTACTTACCGCCTACCACGTGGAATTATCTGTATTTTGAACCAATTATTGACACGTGGCTCCCTGGGTCCCCACATTGTCTAAGCCCTCTAACCCCTATATAATGGGAAACCCAGCCCTCGCATAATTGCACAACAAAATCCATAACATGGAGGCCAATACATTTCACACAAGAACTCACCAGTTTTGTTCACCTATCTCCATACCCACAACCAAAGTTCATTCACTTCCACAACAACCAGTTCAAATCTGTCGAATTGCAGTCAGTGATCGGAGTTTGAAGCTCCGTCAGTGGCAGGGGAGCGGCCGATATGGTCACGGGTGGTGGTCAGTGATTGAGTGTGCTAAAGGGGGTTCAGTGTCAGAAATAGAGGGAGAATTGGAGAATGAGATGAATTCAGAAGATGAAGAGTGTATGGGGATTGGACAGAAGTGGATGGGGATTGGAGGGAAGTGGAGAGAGAACTGCAAAGAGAGGAAGGGAATAGTAGAGTTGATTGAGTGCTTGGAAAGGGAAGCAATCATGGGGAAGGATGAGGGCAGAGAGGCTGCTGATTATTGTAGGAGGGCTCAGCTCTTTGACAAGAGCTCCGAAGTCTTCCAGGCTCTTAAGGAGAGCAACACTAATCATCATGATTCTTAGAGTACTTTGAAAGAAAATCATGTTTTGAATCAATGAATAAAATGTAACACTCTTGGGACTCCGTTTGATACTTGTATTAACTCTTTCCAAAAATAAAGTACTTGTACTCTCGTGTCTCTGATTAGGTCATTATAGCATTGCTCTAACTCCTTCACCATGTTTGTTTTGTGGATAACATTAGCATTAGCTGGTATAGGCTAATCATATACATATCAATCCAACTCCAATGGAATATAATCAGGTATTATATTTGTAATACAACGTGATACCGTGTTTGTTCGCACAATAGCAATTAATGTGAACGCTACAAAAAAATAAAAAAATTTACAGGCACTTATCCCCATGAAAAAAAGATCAATTTAACCTCAATAGTCAATACATTTCACACTTTATTAATTATAATTGTTAGATTAAAAGTGAGTTTCATTTAATATCGTGATTCACAACTAATCCAATAGTTACATCGATTTAAATCGTCCCCAAATCAAGTTCTTATAGCATACCTATCTGTGATTCGTTACAATAAAAGTCTATGGTGTACACAACACTTGGCCTTAACTAGCACATATGAGCATGAATAATAACCACAGATAAGTACTTCATAAAAGATGTAACAGAGAAATAAACATTTTTTGACCTATTAAATAACATCTCTTACAAAAAAACTACCCTTAAACTAGCACATATGGGCATGAAAAAAAGTCATTTTATCCTAAATGAACACTAACTACCTGACATGGCATCAAATTAAAGTAATACAAACCTACCTGGGGAGCTCATCTTATGATGCCATTAAATCAGTAACTTCAAGAGAGGCTCAACAGAACTTCCAATGATTATTGCAGTTTACACACGTTACAAATGTTGTCATAGGTTCATCAGCACTCCGAGTCTGCAATTGGTAGTAAGTAGTTTCTTTTTTCCCACAACGACCACACCTAAACGCATTAGTAGTTGCCTTTGCTGGACCTCCGCGCTGACATTCCAATAAGGCTTTCTCTTTAATTTTTTCATTCTGTTGTTGCCTTTGATCGCTTGCCATATCTTCTGGTGTCAATCCGGGAACACTCTCCGGCTTGAATTGCCCAAGGAGAACTTTTCTCCGGAAATCTGGATTATTGGCATCCTTTATATTGAACATTATGGACCTATATTTGAACTTCTGGGCCCCATTAGACCTGCCCCACTTCTCAAACATTGCAGACTCCACTGAAACAGCCACTCGAAAAGGGTCACAAGCATTCACTTCGTGTCTGTGATCCTCATCAACCTCATTAGCAACTTTGCATAAAGCCTCTGACAGAAGTTCCCGGACTTTATCACGCAAGGGATCCTTACAAGAAAGAACAGAAGTAAGCTTTGGCGGAGCAATAGAGTTTGGTGCTGGTTTTCTCAAATCAGATTTCTCTTCTTTGGTTACTTTTTCAACCTTTATGTGCTCCTCAGCAGTACTCTTTTCAATCTTGACAACATCGACCTTCTTCTCAGTTGAGAAAGATTCTGCCCTCATTATTTTCTCAGAGCCTAGCTTACCACTTTTATCATTATTTTCAACCTTCACGCTTTCAACCTTCGAAACTGTCTCAACCTTCATGGAATTCACCTTTTGAAGCTTCTTGGCCCTGGAAGTCTCTGCACCTGCAGGTCCAATTTTCTCAGAATCCTTATTGTCAGTGCTGCCATTTTTTTGCATCGTTTCTCTTAGAACTATATTCTTCCAAATCTCCAACAAGTCAGATGCCAAAGCCTGGATCTTCTTCCGCGGATGTTTTGTCAGATGTCGAAGACGTTTTCCAACCTGAAATGGAATTCCTTTACATGAATAATTTGGGTATTATGTTGCATCACTACATCCACCACTAGCAAAATATCCCCTAGTATCAAATTTCAAAAAAATGCATGTGGACACAGCAAGAAAATATTTTGTTTAGTGTATAACAAGAAATTTTTAGCTTACGTATAAACCAAATATAGCAATAATAACATGGCATCTATCATCCTCCCACGTCCCCACTTTTATTTAATTCACATGTTTGACCTTTGATTTTAGTCTTCTAGATATAGTGAAAACTTAACAAAATTTATTACAACACCTATTTGCAATGGCTACATAAATTCTGTTTCACCGATGTGTAGCTGACATCAAAACATGAATCCTAAAAATCTAAAGGTAAGAATATGAACACTTGCACTTAAATTTCTTTCATTTAGTTACTCTGGATAGCTATAATTTTCTTAATAAAACTTGCAATTAAATTTCTTGTGGGGCTTAAGCTAGTTCCTCTAGATAGCTATAATTTTATTCACACTGACACAGTAATATCCCATCTTTCATGTTTTATTACTAACACGCCGCCCGAGATTCAAAAAGTGTGAGACACATGTGAAAATAAGATCTTTATTTCTTAATATGGACGTGATGGAAGAGGTATCGGATACACATCAAATCCTTCCAAAGAAGTGTCGATATCAAACACGTGGTTTCTTTAAAAGTGTTTGTTAGTTTTAGATGTATACATGCATAACAGAATCGTGTGCACCAACTTATCGCAAAAAAAAAAAAAAAAAAAAAAAAAAAAAAAAAAAAAAAAAAAAGGAAAAATTAAAAAAAAATAATCAAAATACGTGTAAATTGATCCAAATAGTCCTTAAATGTTGAACCAACAAAAAAAAAATTAGTACAAAACTAAAATTTACAACTTTTTTAAGTTAAATCATAATTTTTTAATGTGTAAGTTATAACTATTAAAAAATATAATTGATCATAAAATAGTATGATTAATCATAAAAATTACAATTTTTAAAAGTCATGTTATAATTTGTAAAAGGGAAAATTACAACTAATTCGAGTAATTCATGATCGATCATAATATTTTATAATNTTTAAACACAAATTACGCGCGCAAGCAGAAAAGGAACAAAGGGGAGTAAATTTATGTTTCAAAGCAAACCTGTATATCGACATGTATCTCGTAGAAGGAAGGTACATTGTGAGAAAAATGCATCAATCTAAAATTTGAAAACCCTCCTAACATTTTCCTTTTTGTGCACATTGCTAGAATTTCCCTTTCCCTCATTCTCTCTCAGAACCAAATAGAGAATCAAACACAAAGTGACCAACTATGGAAACAAGAAATTAAAATCTTTTCTTCCCCTGAAAATAATTAGAGGTGTCTAGGCATATATGCTGTTCATTACTACTTAAAGAAGGGGATGAAAATTACCTAGCAAAAATCACTACCCCCATCAATTGCATTGCAGAGAAAAGTAACGAAAATTTAAACTAAGAAAAAAAATAAGGAGATCCCTTTACACTAATCTGTGAAGTTTTATTAGCAGAATAGGAAATAATTTTTCTTTTCTTTTTTTCCTTTTGTTCATTTTTGTCAAACACCTACACTAATCAAAAGATTTCATTATTTTTGATAAAAAAAATTATTGCAAAAGAAAACAGAGAATATTCGAAGTTCAAAATTTCTAATAGAAATTCTACTCCGGGAAATTCTAAATAATAACGATAAGAATAAGAAAGAAGAAGGAAAAGGCTGAAAAAAATCAGTAACCTGGGTGGAGACGAGAACTTCATAATTAACGGGGAAACTTTTGAGCCGTTTCAAAGAGTCGAGGCACCGATCTTCCTCCGGCGACGACTCTGCTCCGCCGTCCGTGGAGGCTACATCCGCCGCTTTCTTCACTACCTCGAAAAGCTCAATCAGCTCCTTCTCCATCACTCCCGACACCTCAATTCCTTCAAAAAAAAAAAAAAACACCCCGAACTTCATCAAGCTATAGAAAACAACCAATTTTATCAAAAAAAACATACACAAGCACATGCACAGATGCAAATATAGAGAGAGAAAGTGGAATGTGTACATGGATTGGTACCTGTTGAGACGTTTTATCGTAGATCTGAGATTGCAATCCGGCGGTCGGCTGTACTCTTAGAACTTATTGGTTTTTCGGTTCTTCGTTAACGAAGAAGCCCTAGTTTGGTGTGGTGTGGAGACTGGAGAGAGTTTAGCCGTAACGATGGAGGAAGAGAACGAATCGAGGTTGCTGTGTCAGGTGGAAATTTATCGTACGGTGTAGAAAAAAATCTGTAGATCGACGGTTTGTGTCTGAACACGTGTGAGAACTGAGAGATGTCTTTGGCCAGATCTAGAGTTTGACACTGAAAAGAAGTTGCCAAATTCACGATAACACCCCTCCCCCCCCCTACCCCAAAAAATAAATCTTATTTATGATTTATTTATTATTTCTAATTTGATTTAATGACTAAGGATTATATCATGTTACTAACGATAATCTCGTACCTAAAAATATTATGTAATATCAAAAAAATTAAATATTAATCTGTAATATTTTATATTTTAAATAATAAATTAATTTTTTTAATTATGTAATTTAAAATTAAAGTGAAGATAAAAAAAAAAAAGAGTTATGTGTGAATTGATGAGATTGTTTGTTCTAAAAGATGATAATTTCAAACGAAAAAAACTTTTTAATAATGAATTTTATACCATTAGATTCATCTTGATTGTTATTGTGATTTTAGAAGTTAAGAATTCAAATTTTTAACTATAATATCAAATAAAATATTACTCACACATTCATCCAATGAGGTGATTCAGTGGGCTATCAGCAGAACTTCTTACTCTCAAGTGAAAAATTTAAGGCTTAAAGTTTATATTGGAGTTTGGTGGTTGACCGTTGTGTTAGCCTAGTTAGACCTGTTCACAAGAGAACAAATGTGGTTAAGGTTCTCATAATTCCACCAATAAGGATCTATAAGAGTGGTCTCTTGATATTATCTTTTGTCTTTATCATTCTTTTAAATAGCAAAAAAAAACTCACACTACAAACCACGATGAAAATTATTATTTGTAATTAGTTTTGATTATGCAATCAATAATTACAATTGAATTAAATATGCACAATAATGCATGATTGATCTTATGTCCATCCACATGGGCGAAGCCAGAAAATTGTGTCAAGGTGGGCACGAATATTTCAACAAATTATTATTTTGTTCTTACAATTGATAGAAATAGGATAATAATTTATTTAATTACATCCTACTTAATACTTAAAAGTTCATTAAACCTATGATATCGAAATTTGGTAAGCTTAGTATATTCAAACGATAAATTTTTTTTTTTACAAAATATTAACTAATTAAAATCATTTATAATTAACTTTAGTGAATTTGTGTACTTTTAAAACGTTGCATAACAACTTTATTATTCTTTAGATACATAATTATATTATCACTTTTGTATTTATAAATTTTTTAATCGATTATGCAATTTAATGTGCACTCTATAATTTTTACCATAATTAGCAAAAAATAATGTCAAAATCACAAATAAATTAGTGAATATGTATATCATGTCTTTTTAGTCTTAAAAAATATAAAATAATTCTAGTATATTCAAAATTTATCTAAATAGGTACATAATCAGACCAAAATGTTTTAAAAAATTCATATTTATTTGATATAAATATACACTAAATGATGTGCCAAAAAAATTGGGAAGACATAATTAAAATTATTCATTTGATATAAGTGTACATTAATATTTTTGTCTTTGATTTTGAGTGGCCACAAATAATATATTATATAAATATACAATATACATACCTAAGTAATAATAATAAAAAAAAAAAATATTTGAGGGGGGCACTTGCCCATCCTGGAACAGGCTGCCTACGCCCTTGTCTATCCAAATGTTAAAAGTATTGGGTATTTATATGTGTGTGCGTGCGCGAATAATTGTGTTTGTATAGAATTTCATGTCTATATGATATCTTATTATCAAATTCTAATATTACGTGTCAATGATAATGATGATACTACTAAATACTTACTCATGTGGATGATTCTTCATTCATGGAAATTTTGCATTATTTTCTACTACTTATGGAAAGATTTTGGCTGGTAGGATTCACGGCATGTTTAATTGGACAAACTAGGAAGTTTTAAGACTGAACCACCACCTTCCTTATAATTTAAGGAATATTTTCTGTAAACTCAATAAAGAAGTAGACCAGCCCATGCTCCTCTTTTGGATGTGTCATAGGAGGGTGGTCCTAAGATTTTGAGTAGCTCTAAAGCATTCAATTTAAATCCAATCTGATAAATTTTATTTTCAGAATTTTATAACATCATACAAATAAAGGGGTAAACCTAACCTCAAAAGTGCATTTTCTATTTCCAAGTTTCTCTTTACCTTTTATGAGTGTGCTCTTCTCTGAAGGAGAGCATGGCAACCGTTTCTGTTTTCACAATATAATTTGCTTGGGAGACGAGGGGTAAGGATCACCTGATNAATTTATAACATCATACAAATAAAGGGGTAAACCTAACCTCAAAAGTGCCTTTTCTATTTCCAAGTTTCTCTTTACCTTTTATGAGTGTGCTCTTCTCTGAAGGAGAGCATGGCAACCGTTTCTGTTTTCACAATATAATTTGCTTGGGAGACGAGGGGTAAGGATCACCTGATGTCAGAAAATTAATAGCATAAGAACAGCATCGATTTGATACAAAATGACTTCATTTTGTTTTAAATAAAACGTCGTTTTGATGTGAAATAATTACTGTTTTGATCAACAATACCTCTGGTATTAACGCCAGACCAAAGAGATGAGATTGCACGATGCCAACCGATAAACCCAAAAAAAGGGAAAAATTTCAGAAAACCTTTNCTTCATTTTGTTTTAAATAAAACGTCGTTTTGATGTGAAATAATTACTGTTTTGATCAACAATACCTCTGTTATTAACGCCAGACCAAAGAGATGAGATTGCACGATGCCAACCGATAAACCCAAAAAAAGGGAAAAATTTCAGAAAACCTTTGAGGACTCTCTTTTCCTCCGGCAAGCTATGTTATGCGGACCGTGAGGCAATCAAACCTGAGCGCAACCGTGTGTGAGAATGTGAGAAGAAAAAGCTCACCAACAGTACCCAAAAAAAAAAAAAAATAGCCGTCAATCTCAACCTCTACTGACATCACACAATGGTAGTATCTTAACCATATTATTCCAAGTAAAGCCTACAGTTGCTAGCCATTGTCTAGTTAAGAAATAGTACAAGCAATCTAACACTTGGTCCATGCCCTTTTGTCTTAAAGTACTTAACCTACGCAAGGAATAAAAGCGTCAAACTGAAAAACGTATCAAATAGCTAACCCCAAGCTTACACTACCCACTAGCAGGTGTGATAAAGTTTGCTTTGCCTGGTGAATTTAGTGGCTGCTTTGTGTATAACATGTAAATCTTCTCAGTTCAGCTAAATAAAGTCGCACACAACTTGACTGATAAAAAGCAAAATATAAATCAAAGAAAGAAAGAAAGAAAGAAAGAAAGAAAGAAAGTGATAGAAGTGGGTTGGTAGGAAAGCAAAAGAGAAAGAAAACTGAAAGCGGATATCCACATGCACAAGTCCCGGAGAGAGATAAAAAAATATGACCACAACCATAGTCCACAGATCAAAGAAGAGTACATAACTTAATAAGCTAGCATTTGAGTTCTCTACAACTCCAAATTTGACAACATCATTTGGGAAGAATTGTCGGATATCTGTAACCACACAAATACCAAATGCTACAGCAATCCAAATGTCTGAATGTGATAGTTCTTGCAATGACTTACATATTACAAAAAAGAGAGTCACTTCTTTCCGCTTGGAAAGGCTCCAATATCCTTTTTATTTGGGTGAGCGAACAACATGGCATTTCTCTCTATTATCATTTAAAGATAACCATTTGAATGAATGTTGATTCCTTCCTAAACATTTGAGACAACCGGAGATTGGAAAAAGGAATCTAACAATCTTTTATCACCCAAAGAGTTTTCTACTTTGATTTATGCTATATATTCCTCAATTTGGTTCCTTTTTGTATTTGTTGGGGATCATGCCCATATTTGCATTGAAGCTACAACCAGAGTTCCAATGAAGATAATGGTTTGAAAAGCAGCAGCCTTTTAGAACTTTGAAATTTGCAGAGTCAACCAAAAGTTCTCCCCATCTCTGTGTAACTAAGTGTTAGCAGATTGTGCATATTATTCCGAAGCTATTTCACATAAAAATGCTACACTAAAACTTGGTCCAAGAGATGCTTCCGGAAGCAATTCAAGTACCCCTGTCCCGTGTTTATAACTAGTAACCAGAGGAAAGGAATATAAAGGGTCTTACAAAATATAAACGAAAGCAGGTGAACTTATACAAACACATTTGAGACAGAGAGCAGCACAAACACAAAAATCCAAGTTCATCCATTAATTAATCCAAGATTTAAAAACAAGAAAACCTCATCAAGATCGACAAGAGCAAGAAGCTGCATTATTCAAAACAACTTTGTTCACAGTTTTCTCATCAACAACAATGATATCAGGGAGTTACCAGCAAGACTCAACATCTTCATTCAATTTTCTTCTGCTTTTTTCTCGAAAAATGTCTTCTTCAACCAATCAAAGGGCTGTGAGTAGTCACAAAAAGCAAAAAAAAATGTAAGAATGCTAGAGGGAAAAGGAATGCAGGAACATAAAATTGTAAAGTAAAACTAAGGCAAAGAATAACCAAAAACAATTATATTAATTTGGCTACAATTGAATGCGCCAAAAGTTTGAAACTAAATCATCAAATGTGCCTTCTCGGACAAATCATATAATCCCCTTCATTCCACCATATAGCTAATCAATCAAAAAATGGACATGCAAATCCCTGCTACATGCACGGATACTGAAATTTGTGAGCCACAACCATAATTTTCTACAGCTGAAAAAACACCATTTCATTTTAATTAATGAAGATCCCAAAAGCAGCTAAGAACAACGGGGAGACAAAATGGCAAAGAGAATGAATTGTCATAACCTCAGTATATACAGACTGTCACAGGAACGAATTCAAATCAGAAAACCTTTCATCTAATCAATCATCAGAGACTCAGTAAACAAAGTTGTCACCCAATCCCACGCGCAATTCCACAAAACTGCCGCTTTTAATATAATTCCATACATTTTTATATGCTTGAGAAGAAATTTGGATTTGCTGAAACCAGAATTGCCAATAAACGTGTACAATCCAACACATATAGAAAAAACAGCAATCAAAATGTACACTGACCAATGAGACATATCTAACTTAATTTCGAAAATGTTCGTGTCTCTGCAGATATATAGTATTAACAAGATGGTTTCAACATCATTCATCCAACCCTTAAGAAATTTTCATGCAAATGACATTTATTGTATCCACAAATAAAAATGCACAAAACGCAAACATTTTAAACATGTATAATTCCAAAAACACACACGTTAAGCTATAATCTACTGCAATCAAATCGAACTAGAGATCTAGAAAAAAAAATTATAAACAGTTAGTTCCATCACCTCGATCTACAACAAAAACATAACCAAATTCCCAATTTCAAAGTCCAAATAGGATCAAGCATACAGCAAACTATAGATTCAACTGAACGTTGCCAAAAAAATAATTGGACAAATAGAAATCATGATCAATATACATAAAATGTGAAAATCGAATTTTGGAAGTTAAGATTGAGAAATTTTGAGGCCAAGAAATACGGACCTGGACAACCCAAAGGGCGGTGGTAGCGGCGGCGACGCCCCAGGTGACGGCGGCCTGGACGTCGGTGGATTGAAGACGCGTGCTTGGGCGCAGGAACTTGAAGAGACCCGATCCTGACGCAACTGGGCCGGCCATGTTCGATATTAGTCGACTGCAATCAATGAAACCCTAGAAGTTGGAAAAAGACACGTTTGTGTTCTCAGATTTTACTCTGCTCCACAGGAATGACGATGAAAGTCAGTCCACCAAAACATTTGACCCGTAAAACCATTTCCGAAAAAAAAATTTAAAAATTGGGTGAAAAATCACAAAATATTTTCTATGCTTTAGTTAAATCGATATCAAATTAAAGAAAATCCAAATATTTGACTAAATTAGATAATTACTTAATGTTAACTACAGTTGTCAATCGTGTCGAATGAGATGAGTTCGTTAAACAAGTCGTGTCGTGTCATATCAGGTTTGTTTTTGTGTATAGATATTGTATAACTAATAGGGTTAATCTCATTTTATACCCTGAAAGATAGTTCGAATCTCAATTTACACCCTCAAAAAGTAAAAATCTCAATTTACACCCTCAAAAATAGAAATTTGTATCAATGTGCACCCCCAAAGATAAAAAATCTCAATTTACACCCTCAAAGATATAAATTTGTATCAATGTGCACCCCCAAAGATAAAAAATCTCAATTTACACCCTCAAAGATAGAAATTTATATTAATGTGCACCCCAAAGATAAAAAATCTCAATTTGCACTCTCAAATATAGAAATTTGTATCGTTATGCACCTAAAATTAAATTGATAAATTATACCTAGATCCTTTCATGTTTGTCACTTAATCATTTGGACCTCTTTACATTTAGAATATTACTCCTACATCTCATGACATTTATGCACGTACAACATGTAACCCATTTTCATTGATATCTGTTAATATAACCGTTAAAAATATAATTTTATCCTAATAAAAAATTATAATTTCATATTACCCTTATTTTATGGGTCCAATATACTCTAAAGTTCAAAATCAAGCTTACCATTTGAATGTCTAACAAAATGTAGATATTTATATAATGTTTTTCATATTTTCCTTTTTATAAATATCTACATTCTATTAGACATTCAAATGGTAAGCTTGATTTTGAACTTTATAGTATATCGAATCCACAAAATAAAGGGTAATATGAATTATAATTTTTTAACGATTATATTAATAGATATCAACGAAAAGTAGTTATGTTTACACATGTACAAACGTCATGAGATGTAGGGGTAATATTCTAAATGTGAAGGGGTTTAAATGATTAAGTGACAAACATGAGGGGATCTAGGTATAATTTATCAATTTAGTTTTAGGTGCACATTAATACAAGTTTCTATCTTTGAGGGTGTAAATTGAGATTTTTGATCTTTGGGGGTGTACATTGATACAAATTTCTATCTTTGAGGGTACAAATTGAGATTTTTGATATTTGAGGGTGTACATTGATACAATTTTCTATTTTTGTGGGTGTAAATTGAGATTTTTAATCTTTAAGGGTGTAAATTGAGATTCGAACTATCTTTCGGGGTGCAAAATGAGATTAACCCTAACTAATATTTAAATGAATTGTATTGTATATTTCTTTTCATTGACTTCATTCATTTCCGATTCGTTTATTAATTGTGTCATGTCTGGTCTATTAATTTACAAAATTGGTGGCTTTAAAAATACTCAGATCCTTTAATTTCATGTTATGTTAACGATTTGTTTCATATTTTGGGGTATAAAATGATAAATTTTTTTTGTATTTAGGAGAATTACATCTAAACTTAGTGATTTATCATTTAATTACTTAAATTTATAATATTTAAAATATTATATATAAACTTCTTAAAAAGTGTAAGCACTTAACACCTAGACTCTCATCGTCAATAATAATTGTTTATAAATTATACTCAAATTCTCTGAAATTTATATGCGTAATACTTAAATCCCTTAAGTTTAAAATATTATATTTAAAAAAAAATTTCAATTCAATATAGAATATTAAATATTTTAAATTTGATAATCAAAATTTATATTCTATTATGTCATTTATTGAAATAAAATAAAAAAATATAATTTATTTTTTAAAATCATAATTAATATATAATTATACTATCTATTAAACGATCAAACTACCCCAATTAAAGATATAAAATATTATGTCCATTATAGTTTGATCATTTATTTATTTTTTTTAGTTTTATTCAAATATATAGTATAATTATATATTAATTATAATTTTTTAAGAAAAATTTAGATTTATATTTTTAATTCTATATCAATATATGACATAATATAACATAAATTTTAGTTGTAAAATTTAAAATATTTGATGTTCTATCTTTAATTGGAGTATTTTTTCTCTAAGTATAATATTTTAAATTTAAATGGTCTAAATATATCTATTAAACTACTAAATTATCCCAATTAAAGATAGACGATATTGCGTCTATTGGAGTTTGGGCCCTTATTTATTTATTTAATTTAATTTTAATAGATAATATAATTATATATTAGTTATAATTTTTTAAAAAAATTAGATTTTTATTTTTAATTTTATATTAATAGCATAATAGAACATGAATTTTGATTGTAAAATTTAAAATATTTGATATGTTATATTTAATTAAAGTTTTTTTGTCTAAATATAATATTTTAAACTTTGAAGGGTGTAAATGTTGCGTATATAAACTTTAAAGGGTTTAAATGTAATTTATTAATGAATATTTTATGCATGAATAAACCTTAGGGGTTCTATATAATATTTTAAATATTTTAGGTGTAAGTGATTAAATAACAAATATTCGGAGATTAGAGTGTAATTCTACCTATTTTTTTTTTTAGTTCTTTCCGTTCCATTCACTGCCCGTTCTCGATTGTGGTCTGTCTTTACAGACTCGCAGATCTCTCTCTCCCTCTCCATTTTCGTGCTCGTTGTGGAGCATCTACTGCTCATCGGTAGGTAGAAGATGTTGAAATTCTTGAAAGGCGTGGTTGCCGGATCTGGCGCGGCCCTCAAAGATCTTCCTTACAACATCGGCGAACCTTATTCCTCTGCTTGGGGCTCCTGGACTCACTATAGCGGCACCTCCAAGGTAATTCAAAAACTCGACCTCTCTATATCTCTCTATCTCTATTTCTCTGTGCACAGATACATCTATGTGTGAGTATGTTTATGTGTTCCTGTAGATTGCTTCGTTCAATTGATGCTTGATCTCGTTTTCCATTGTTTGATTTAGTGTACACGTCTTTAAGTTCGAATTATTTATAGTTAGGTTTGACCCAATCTAATCTGTTTGGATCAATTGCCTGTGAGTGGTTTGGGCCAGTGAAATTCTCTGAATTGAGCGAAAATTTCAATGCGTGGGTTTCGGTAATATTTCTCGTTTTTTTTAAATAGAATTGGCTGTTTATAGGAGTGACGAGATCGAAACTTATAAGAAATTACAACTGTAATTTAACCTTTTGTTAGAAGCTTGATGGATTTCGTTTTCCAGGTCCTGCTTAATTGGGACTGTTCATGATTAACTATAAGTTTAAATGGAAGTTTTAACGGATTGTTTTTTATGACATAGGATATGGTGATGGTTACGCACCACACAACTGACAATGTAAGGACTTATTTGAACATTAAACAGGACTTACTAATGAGGACCTGTGCGACGGAAAAATTTTGAAATTGATGAATGTTGACACTGACTGTTTGATTTTTGGGAGAAGCGAACTGAGTGCACCTTCTTCTTGCTAAACGAACAACTGCCAGGAACCGGGGTTGATTGGCCGGAGTCACTCCAATGCTTAAGTCAGTAAGGGCTTGAGATCAAGCAACCAAATTATGGGGAAAGGAGTGTGTACTTTAAAACTTAAGCTCATCTGGTATGCGTAGTAATATCTTCCTGACCAAGTTGTACTTGGAATTCTAGTAGGGTGAGGTGGCACACCTTGAACCTAGCCAAACTCATTCAAATCAACTTGTAATCAAATTTGATTACTAGTCGTGCTATTCTCTTCTTTAGGTCACACGTTTACAACTTGTACCTTAATCAATGCTAAAACCTTATCCCATCAACCGCCTCATGTTTATAGGGATATTCTAGCTATATGTTCAGATAGGTCTTCATCATTACTAGATTGAATTAGATTCTTATTTGAATTTCAGTCTCATAGTATTTATTTCTGGGCATATTTTATTAGTCTCTACTCGGCACACACTTATTTATTCTTGAATGTTGATCCATCAAGGAGACCACTTTCAATTGAATTCTATTGTGGCCAGGTCTTATCCAACCTACTTGGCTGCACCAAAACTGTTAGGCTGAGATGTATTCTACTCGGTTGAGGCTTAGTCTGTTCAGTTGTGGTCTTGGCACCTCAAACGGCTCTTTTTATGTGTCAGTTGCCACGCGTCTTGGTCCAGTTGTCAAATCATGGTCAAAAATATTATGTGGAATTGAGAATTGTTTGATAAACTCAACTTAACAAAAACTTGTCCTAACTTTTCTGGGTTAGTTACATGTATTCAGTTTTGCTCTGTGATCTATTAAAAGTCTTGCTTTCTGTTAAACTATGATTATCATATTATTCTTTACTATTTTATTTAAAGTTAATTTTAGTCTTATTGCAACTATTCGCTAATATTGGTCTGTTAAACAAGAAGAATTATTTGATGAATTGCAATAATTGGAAGTTTTTACGAAAGACAAGTCTTTCATTCTCATAAAGGTAGCACTTGCAAGCCCTATTCTCAAATATCTTAAGGTTATTGTTTGTTGCAGTATGCAATTCTTCTTCTCTAGATTTGATAATGCCCAACATATACCTATAATGAAAATATGCTATATGAAACATATGCACACATGATATCTCCAAAAACCAAACCAGTGAGACAAACACGAAGTATACAATTCTAGCCATAATATCGTACGATATGTGAATACATATTTTATGATACATTTCAAACATGTGCACTGGGCAAGCGACCCATCAACCTACTAGCAGTGGACAAGAAATCAAATCATGTCACAACAATATATATTTTTTTCCTTTCGGTCTAAGCTCAAACAAATGAAGCTCTCGATCATTTTTTCCAGTGTTACTGGAATTCGCTCATGACCCAAATAAAAACCCTAGCCCTAAATATAAACCCTAGACCCAAGTTATTCCAAGATAATAGAAGATTGCTTTGAACAGATTAAAGAATGGCGAAGAGTAAAACAATCAAGAAATCCACATTAAATTTAAATTTTCATAGGAGGCAAAATTGAGTTCAGTCACTTACCTAGAACGACAAAGTTTATCGAATGAACAGTGCTTCTCTCATCCTTGATTTGACAATCGTCTCTCACCCACAATCGGCATCTCTCAACTTGCAATTGACTTCCATGGGTCTCCAACTCAGATTTGAAATCCTAATGTATTTGTTAAAGAGGAAATACGTGGTGTAGTTTGCAAGTCTCTATCTCTCTCCGGAAGCATTAAGCATTTGCTAAAGTAGTAAAGGTGTACAGTTCCCTCCTTGTTATCAATCAAAGAAAGTGTGTTTAGTGAAAAGTCAAAACTTCCCCCAACAGTTTTATTCAAAATATGGGCAGCTATGACTTTATGAGCTGGACAAAAAAGTCAAAAACTAGCCATAGGTTATATTAGCAGCAACTCAGTCCTAGATAAAAAGTCAAAACTATCCCGTGTGTTATATTAATTTGGCACATGGGCAGTTTATGAGTTGGATAGAAAGACAAAAATCCCCATAGGTTATGTTAATGGATACCTTTTGCAAACGTATAATTGACTATAAATTCTTATAACAGTGAAAACGATTCAGATGGCAGTCTTAAAACAAATTGCGATCCAGTGGCGTACAAACTAAGCCTTCCACCGCCGCACTGCGTACCGGAGAAAGTATCATACCAGGTACCTTACCATGAACAAAATTGACCCGAGATCTAGGTAACCTTGTTTTAATCTATTCGGTGAAGGCAAATGATTGTTTCCCTTTCGTTTAAGGGAGTTGAAACGGAATTTATTATTGTTGATATATATATATATATATATATATATATATATATATATATATATATATATATATATATATATATATATATATATATATGACACGTTGAAGATTGTGGTACATGTTTTGACAACATTGATTCTACCTGGACAAAGTCTCGCAACAAGTAATAAAAGCAATCCCCTAGTTTTGATAATCTCCTAAAAATTTTTGAGGAGAGGGAACTCAAAAGGAGATGGTTTATTTTAAACAATAGAACCTCTGTAGATAATCTCTAAACTTTCTTTATACACCACCTAAATAGACATAATGGTAAACCTACTCAAGCTTTCCATACATTTAATCACCCTAGCATACTGGAAAGCCCGCACGACATTTGCTGTAGCATACAGCATCACCCACTTTGTACTAGAAGTGACAAGGGGAGAGCTTACAACCCTTGTACCGCACTACCTTGTATGTTTGCAACTGTACATGATGCGTAGTCTCCTAGCACATGTGACACCTAAAAAGACCCTCTCGTAACAAAATCAGTAATAATCATTAAAAAAAAAAAAAAACTCGAGAGAAACTGTTGAAGCAGAAAAAATGTTTGAAGCGAACTTTGACCACCAGGGGACCTTTCCATGGGATTGAGGGGCGTTACCTCCAAGCAACTCCTTGCCTTTACTTTTTGAATCTCTGCTCAAGTTTTTTTTTATAATTAGCATATTTATTTCATGACAAAGTCATTGCATTTCCAAACTCATCCATCCTTTCTGTGGTACCAAATTCTGTTTAGGAAGAAGCTATAGTTTTCCTTTTTCTTTGATGAGTTGGAAGCAGTTATAATATATTTTCTCAATATGGCCTTATTATTTTTAACTTTGAGATGATCTTTTGCCCATGCTTAAACAACATGATTTGACTAATTTTAATTTTTTCCCTTTGATAGTGATTTCCATGCCAAAAATTTGTCCATATTTTTAGTCCACCCGCTCAAGTTGGTGCCCTTAGATCTATTATCCCATGTTTTTCATTGCCTGTTGCTTTTGTAAATTTTATTTGTCAATGTTGGACTGACTTAACTACAAAGGGTGTGTTTTTTTGGCGGTGTAAATTAGATACTCCTTTATTTTCTTACCAACAGCTTACTACAAATTTTGTAATGGAGAATCCGAGAATATGTCCTTTAGGAAAATTTATTTATATTGAAATTGATGATGTGGGATCATTTCTAAGATTCTTCTTGATGCCACTCTTTTAATGGTGCAGTTTGTAAGGATGGTTACATTGTCAATAATTTCTTTATTCAGGAGAGTTTGTGTTAGTGCCTTATTCATGTTGATGAACTGGGCTTTAGACTCTATATTGTATGAAAAGCAATGTGTTAATTTAGTTACTAGAACATTAAACATGTCCTTACTCGCTCATCTCTAATTGGCTCCTTTTAAGCTGTCAACATGTTTAGCAGCGCGAGTTGTCTTCCTATGAACGAGATGAAATTTGTAATTTTAAACTTGATTCTCAACTTTGCTAAAAACTGAACTTTTTTTAACGTTCTTGCAGTTGAAACTGAAATGAGACTTCAGGTACATGGGCATACTTTACGAAGTAGTTAACTCCCGTCGTCTTCAGGGAGACAAACTCTCTTTTTTATCACCAATCTTGTTTTCACTGTCTCACTAGTTGATCCATCTAGATTTTTCTATTCAGAAGAAGAACCCTACGGCTCCAATGTTGGAATTGTATATGGGTTGTTGGATTCAAAAGACCATATTTTTGATACTACATCACACGAGTTGTTTCTAGTGCTTATCAAAATTTTACACTAAAAAGTGGTTAGCCCTCGCTTACCCATGAATCCTTATTGTAAATAGAGTTTGTATCTCATATCAAATAATTGGGATCACCCAAGGTTGCGTTATATCGTTGAGGCAGGGGCTACTCCACCCGTTGTTGAATTGGATGCTTTGGCATAGTATCGGAGTTGGACTTTAAGGGTTTAGTGGGCCAAGTTGCTTACCCATTTGAATTTTTTGGTATGCATGGTTGTTTGTTTGTTAGCCTCACCTGCGAGCCCGGGTCCCACATAAGGGAGGGTATTAAGAGAACTATGTATCCCGCATCGAATCATCCAAGGTTAATTTATATACTTGAGACGCCACTCCAACCACCGCCAATTTATTTGGGTTGGATGCTCTAACACTTATAACCATCGCAGGACCTAAATTTGCACCTTCCATTAAAAGATAGCAGGATATATTTATAAAGCTGAGATATTTGGCTGTGAATTACAGGAATTTTCCACAGCCAACTTGCATATTAGTCGTAGCCTTTGGCTTCTAGGAAAGCTATGCAGTGTTTTATTTTTCCTCTTCCCTCTGTGTGTTTCTGATGGAATTGGTTGACTTCTGCTGATGGGTTTTTTTATTTTTTCAGGATGATGGGTCACCAGTGTCTATATTTTCTCTTTCGGGAAGTAGTACCAATGATGGACATTTAGCTGCTGGTCGTAATGGTGTCAAGCGTCTTCGGACGGTAAGCTTCTAATGGAGAAAAAATTGAAAATATTTTGCATAATATGGTTCTTCCTTTGTTTATGGGTTACAATTAGATGCACTCGTGACTCGTTTTTCTTAACCTTGTAGTTATGGATTTTGATTACATGCAATTAATTTTGTTTTTATTCACAAATAAATTAGCTCTAGGTGGACTGGGTGATTCATGGGCTGCCATAGCTACTGGAGTACAAAGATGTTTGTGCATGTCAACAAAATTTAGAGTGATTTTTGGTGATGTTCAAAAAGCATATTTGGGAATTCATAGTCTGTTTACTATAATATAAACTATTCTAGACACACCTAGGAATCAAAAACGAAAATTCGAATAACATAATCATATAGATGCACATATAATTTTAGATGAGGATTTTTTTTGGACAGCATGTGTTGAAAATATCAAATAAGGAGGTCTGTAAACATCCAGTCATGATTGTTCTTTTAGATCTGATAAGATCTATTTTGTGACTCAGTTTTCAACTGAACATGCTGATGTATCTAGTTGTGCTGTTCTAGTGCTTGGGAGTACAATTGGTTACAGATGCAGATCATTTCTGAACTTATAGTTCTAAAAATTCTGTAGTTATCGAGGTTGAAGTTTCATACCCATTTTTTATTTTCATCATTTTCTTCAGGTATTTATAAGTATTTTTTGTCGGTGAAAATTGCATTGACTACATTCTAGGATAAGAAAATAAAATCGTCTTGAACAAGTGCCACTCTTTTAGTTTGTTGTGCTTCTTTTTGTTGCGAGTATTTATGTCATGCTTCTATCTTAGATTGGTTTGGTTCCAAATGCAGTTGCATTATGAGCTATTATTTGCTCCTTCCAGGTCAGACATCCAAATATTTTATCATTTCTTCACAGTACTGAAGCAGAAACTCTTGATGGCTCTACTACCAAGGTTACCATCTATATTGTCACTGAGCCTGTTATGCCACTGTCAGAAAAGATCAAGGAATTAGGATTAGAAGGTACACAAAGGTATATAAAACTTTATTCCACTTGATTGGTTTGTGGTTGCGCTTAGTATGTAGGGCCATTTGATTGATTTCTACATGATGCTTTGTTCTGTGCATCACATGTGAGCCTGTACAAAGTCATTTATTGTCTCTTTTTATGCAGATTAATACTCTCTAGATACCACCTCAATATTTGGTTGCATTTGAATAGCTCTATGATGTGTATTAATCAAACTTGGAGTGAGCATGCACATTTAGAACCTCTTTCTCTCCTACATTAGGTGTCTTTATCTCATTTTCAGACTCCTCTGTATTTATTAGTTGTTACAGTGTGCCATCTTCATTAGACATTTGTTGTAGGGTCCTTAGTGTTTCAAATATATCTTGCCCATTTGCTTGAACTTTTTTTATTACCTTCTTCTAATGGCAGGGATGAATATTATGCATGGGGATTGTACCGCATAGCTAAAGCTGTGAGCTTCTTAAATAATGACTGTAAGCTTGTAAGTATATCTGGTTGAATTTTATAATTTTTGTTCAAATCTAGTGATATGCTTTGCCAAAACCTGTTGAGATATACATTAATTTCAAATGTTTCTTAGAAACAAATTTTTGTAGGTTAGTGGATTCAGTTGAGTTAATTACTTGGATGCATATGTGCATCATCTATTGGATTCTTTCCTCCCATCCATTATCCAGAAAAAAATAATAAATACTGAGTTATGATTTCTTGTAGTGAGTAGAGCACTGGAAGGGCACCCTTCCTAGTCTGTATGGTCTGTTGGATTTACACATAATTAGTGCTAGGAAACTGTGGTTTCAAACTGTTGAAGTAGAGAGAATATGCTTTCTGGCCTAGTTGTCTTACATCCCTTCAACATCCATTGGGCATTTGTAACCACAGGCCTTGTTGCAAATTGGTATTCCAATGAGTTTTAATCAAATACATCTGTATAAAACACAAAAGCAAATGAATTGGACCATATTGCCAATTCAGTAATATAGAGTCCTTCTTTCTTTATTTCTAACTGATAGTGTCATATATATGTAACTATATGTAATTTTTAGTTTCAGACGTATATTTTTCTAATAAAAAGGTTAAAACAGGAAGAATTGATGACTTATTTCAGTTGTCTTGGAATACAAATACTGCAGTGAGTGAAGTGGTGTTAGGCATGCTGCAATTTAAGCATGCATTTGGGTGTAATGATTTCATATCCAAAAGAGAGATTTGATCAACTTGTGGTTTTTTCAGCACTCTCCCTATATATGATAGATTTTGTTCTTGACTAAGTTGCTACTGCAGGTTCATGGTAATGTTTGTATGGCCAGCGTTGTTGTTACTCAAACATTGGACTGGAAGTTGCATGCTTTTGATGTTCTATCTGAGTTTGATGGGAATAATGAAGCTTCTTCAGGACCAATGCTGGTAATCATTTGTTTGAATGTTATTGCTGGCTTTCAACTTCTAATGTGATACATATTATTTTCTTCATTGGAGTCTAAGACAACATATTATTAGTTTTAAAAGAAATCTTACATCAAAAATTAAAATGTACTGATACTAATTGAGAAATACCAAATTTCTCACCACTTCTATAGATAGTCTTCCCCCTCCTCCCATCCTCACAAAAAAAAAAAACCACCACACAAAAAATGTTCTTGGATAATAATTTTTTATTCAATTGTACTGCAATAATTTTCTTCAGCATTTATTTTGGAATATCAACTCTTACTTTACTCGATCGTGGTTGGACTAGTGGCAAGATTGATTTGAATTGCTTATGTTGATGTTTCTTGATGCCATCATTCTTCGTGGCGGAATCCTTACCAGTATGACCACCTGTGAAGATGTTAGTCAAAAAAGGCTTGGCTTCTTATTATTTATTTGTATATTAACTTCTTTCAGCAATATGAGTGGCTTGTTGGTGCACAATACAAATCGATGGAGTTCCTAAAGTCTGACTGGGCAACAATTAGAAAATCTCCACCTTGGTCGGTTGATTCTTGGGGTTTGGGTAAGTCTTTCATTGCCTCTTATGTTGCTTAGCATATATTCACATTAATTTGGTAGAATATGATCCTGTCATATTGCGGGATTGCCAGGAGCAGTACTTTTTTAGTTCTGATCAGCTGGATACCTGATTACATGCCTATCGTTGGTGATACTGCCTTTACTGCAGCATTTCCTGCTTGCACCCACTTTCTTGACATTGTTGTTACGTGTTGGAGGTGGCTACGTTTCTAGTATATAGCTGAGAAATATAACCTATCTTCCTTGAATGTGGGCTTTGATGATTCATAGCTCTGGATTCTTGGGCTACTGATTACTCCATTCATATTCCTTTGTAGAAAATAAATGAGATCAAACTTGTACTTGAAGAAGGTGCACATGGTTAAAAATTACCCAACCACTAGCATTAAATATTTAGTGCAGTGTGATGCTGGGCACTGTGCGTTACAGCTTTTCTTAGACACTGGGAATATAATAGCTGATATAAACAAAGTTTTACATGTAAAATATTTTTTCACCTAGTAATGGGAACATTAAAAGTGCAGATTATTCTTAACTGCTATTGAATTTGTCTTTTAATTGTAGGTTGTCTTATTTATGAACTGTTCTCTGGTATGAAGTTAAGCAGAACGGAGGAGCTGCGTAATACTGCGTCCATACCAAAGGTCAGCCTGTTATTGTGGTTGTTGAACTAGAGACTAAAAGTCCTGTTCTGTACTCAATTTCATTTTCTTTTGACCTTCTAAACCCATGCCATTATTTAACCTTGTGAATGTATAAGCGTGTGTGATTGCATGCTCATTTTGTCTTGCATTGTTTTTATTTCCAGTCATTGGAAAATTCAGTTTCATTTGCATCTGTCTATTTTTCTGTCTCACAGTCTCTACTTCCAGATTATCAGCGGCTCTTGAGTTCTATGCCTTCTCGCAGGTTGAACTCATCAAAGCTTGTGGAAAATAGTGGTCAGCTCATTTCTCCTTCTTATGCTTGAATTGTTCACATGAATTTGTTAAGATTTCTGGGCGCGTTAAAACATAAATTGTTATGGTCTATCATGGCAGCAATTTGTTTCCAGAGTGAATGTATCTTGATTATGTGTTATTCTTTTTTGTTTTTTTGTGGGAAAGTTTGGTGTCATATTCTGTACTTGGAAGTTGGATTATTATTGTTTTTCTAGGTGACTGTGGTTTCACTTTATAGTTTGCAATCATGCTTTAGAAGTACCATAGGTATATGACTCTTTTTTGTTCTAAACGTGGTTTTTTGATGAAGGAACTTTCATGTACGTATGAATATTACTGTGTACCCTATTATCAAATGTACTTGGATGGGATTTATTTGGATTTAGTGTTGCAGCTGGATGGTTGTGGATTTAAATCACTTGGCATGGTATGTTCTCCAAATATTACTTTTAGCCAGGAAGCATGGTTGTTGAATCAAGGCTGCTGCTTGTTTTTTGCACTCTTTGTGCGTGCCCCTTTGTCTTCAGACTTCTAGTTTTGGGTGTAGGTTGTTCTTCTTCCGGTTAACAAATTACTAGTGTAGATCTATGTGAGGATAATACGAAATGTCCGTGTTAGAGAAATGATAGGAGTAGCTCCAATTGAGGATAAATTAAGAGAGAATAAATTAAGATGGTTTAGTTATATTCAACGGAGGCCAATAGAGACACCAGTTTGAAAAAATGATAGAATTTTTCTTAATGGTACTAGAAGTTGGGGAAGACTTAAATTAACATTGAACGAAATAATAAGAAAAGATATAAAAATATTTAACTTAAATGAGCGTATACCGCATGATCGAAATGAATGGTGAAGATGGACTCATATAGCCGACCCCAAATGATTGGGACATAAGGCTAGGTTTGGTTTGGTTATCTATGTGCGGATGATCATCTCAAAGCATGAAGGTACAACCTTGGTCAGTCGTTTTTGAATTAGCCCTTGTGACTTCATTTTTCTTTGGAATTTAAGTTTAAGAGGGTTCAATTCGCAGAAACAGCATCTTTGCATGCGTACATCTGACACTCCTTGGACCTTCCAATGACGAAAGTTTGGGATACCCTAATCACATTCTACCGATTTTGTAGATATAGGAAATAATGGTTGTCTGAAGATTAAATAACATTCCATTACTTTTCCAACTTCCAGTAAAGCTGCATGATGGCTGATATGGTGCACATTTACTGTGTATCTTTATTTAACTTTAAAAGTTGAAAGGATAATACGCCTTTCTTGAGTTTCTTTTGCGAGTTTAATTGTCCACTGATTGGTGTAAAAAGCAGGGAAAATGTTACTGTGCGGCAAGTCGTTATTGGTAAAATGTGTCCATTGATTTTCTTGTACATTGGGAGCCTTATATTCCATCCTCTTTCCCTATTAATCCTTAAACCAAAATGACAAAAGGGGGTCAAACTAATCGTTTTCTCGAAGTCTTCATGATCGATACTGCCAGGTGAACTAGCTATCTTCTTGCTAATTGATAGAGCACGCATTGCCTCTGGAAGGTATCATTGACCTTATACGGTTGTACTCGGAACTTTGCAACTGATCATTATGCATGTAAACTTCGACGTTTCTCATAATTTCTTTGACATGTCGCTATGTTTATAGACTCATTTAAGGAAAGCATAGAAGCTTGAAACATATCAAGGAGTATGGCTTGTTTAGAAACTTGTATGTTTTGTGATCTAATATTCGCTGGAGTATTTTTTGGGTGCTATGTCTGTGATCTTGTTCGTTTAATTTATATCTTATTGTTGTCTGTTGTTATATTTATATTTTTCCAACTGTACTACAAATCTATGAATTCATATGCTCCTATTTGTTACGTTTTAACTTGACTTACTGTGTCTTTCCTTTTGATTTATAAGCAAATGTCTCACTGAAAGCATGTGAGTTCATATGCTTGTCTTCCGCAAGCTATTTATTCTTGTGTCCTTTTGTGTTGTACATCCCTTATATTGCTTTACTTGTTCCTGCATTGCTTTTTTTCTCCCCTATATTTTCACACATGTCTATATTAAAAAGCAAAACATGTTTTGGCAGAATATTTTCAAAATAAATTGGTGGAGACCATACATTTCATGGAAATTCTGAATTTGAAGGACAGTGTTGAGAAGGACATGTTCTTCCGTAAGCTTCCAAATCTAGCCGAGCAGCTTCCTCGGCAAATTGTGCTGAAAAAGGTGTCTACTTCAATTAAAAATTCACGTGGTTTTACTATGGTTTTACTCGGGTTTTAATGCAGTTTCAATTTATCTTCTGGTGGTTACAGTTGCTTCCGTTACTAGCTTCAGCCTTAGAATTTGGTTCGGCTGCTGCCCCTGCTTTGACCGCATTGTTGAAAATGGGTTCATGGCTTTCAACAGAGGAATTTACCATTAAGGTCATACTCTTTTAAGATTTTTTTTTGGCCTTCTTTTTCTTTGAGAGTGTTGATGTCAATGTGGTTAGTGTGTACTATGTGGTTTGTGCAAGATTTTTTGCTTCTATATTTTAGGTGGTACCCACAGTGGTTAAACTGTTTGCCTCCAATGATCGAGCGATTCGAGTTGGTCTGCTGCAGCATATTGATCAATATGGGGAGTCATTGTCAGCACAAATTGTTGACGAGCAAGTATGCATCCACTGATTAGATGACTATACTTTCTTTGATATGATTCAAGCACATTGATTTTATTCTTGTTCTCGGCAGAAAGCTTTTTTATCCTTCTAACTCGAGATAGATTATGACAGTAAACATTTCTGGTGATGGTTTTGATTAGGTTTACCCACATGTTGCTACTGGGTTCTCTGATACGGCTGCATTTCTCCGGGAATTGACACTTAAATCCATGCTTGTTCTGGCTCCTAAGGTATATTCACACTACGCCGTGCTTGCTGGACCTTTGCTTTATGGTGTTTGGCATATAATATATTTAATGATGACAATAGCTGTCAAATTTGATGTGGAAGATATACTAAGAATATGGTAGATATAAAAAATGTTTATCTGTAAGTGTTTGTTTGAATGAGATGGGGGACACCGTTTTAATATGTGAAAATATGTTATGGAATGAATGGTTGATTGGTTCACTGTTTTGGACTAGTCCCCCGGGGGAAAGGGGGGGGGGGGGGACAAAT